GGATAAAGGAAACAAACCCATAAATAATGCTTGTGGGAGCAAAAGTTGTTCACCAGTTATGGAAGACAAATTTGGCAACAGGAAAAGAAATTCTTCACATGTTGATACCATTTGATCCTCAGTTCCACTTCACACTTAAGGATTTATAAAATGAAAAAATAGAAACAAATTAAATGTCCATTAATAGACTGGCTAAATCAATTGTCATATTCACTTAATGGACTACTATATAGCATATAAAATTTCTGCTGCAGAAAAATGCACAAGACTATAAGAATTTTTACAAATTTTAAAATTACAGAAATACATGTTCAAGATCAGGAGAGGCAGCGAGAAAGGAAAAAATAAATAACCAAATATTCAAAATAAATTATTTGTGCGGCTATTTTGTTTTTACTTTCTACAATCAATACACGAGAGTCTGCTTTTTACTATTCTCCCTCCCAACATGACAGAGTATACAGTTAAAAGTCTTTATTGATTTAATAAGCAAACATTTGCCTCTTGTAGTTTAAATGTTTATTTCTGAGCCTACCAGGAAGTATGTACGTATGTATATGTACACACAACACACACACATGCAGTGTTAAGAGATGTGAATGGCCAAGAAAATTGAGAAAGAATGGCCATAGAGGTTGAAACAGAGCCTGAGTTGGGGAAGACTGGGAGGAAGTAACTTAAGGAAAGTGAGATGAGGCAGGAGAGGATCAAAAGCAAGTACAAGGCAGATTGTTTGACAGCAGGCCACAACTCACACAGACGTACCTGGAAAGGCCAAATGGAAGGCTTACACCTTGGAAAGATTGCTGGGAGTGAGGAACGATGGTGAGCAATTCGATGGCTGACTTCTGGGTCTGTGATGCCTCGGTCAGAGTTCACCCCATAGGGTATTAACTCCTCTGCTCTTTCCAGCTGCATTATCCAGCTCATCAGGGCATTCATGTGGCATGTGATTTTTTCCAGAAGTAGTGGTGGAAGCTGGAGCTCCCATGGCAGACACTAGGCAGGGATGGAGTCCTTCCTCCACAGAAGCAGACTGAGCAGTGATCAGAGGAAGGTGAGGAGGCCCATGGTGGGGACTGGGTCAGCTACACATGTGCAGTGCTGTTCCTGTGCCCATAGTCAGATGGGAAGAATCGTCCATGAAGGTGGAAGCAGAAGTGGATCCAGCACCACCAACTGCAGAAACATGAGCATGAACCAATCTCTGCATAAGCAGAAGTGGAGGGGTGCATGCATCAAGAACAATTTATCAACTAACAATCCCCTTTCAACCCACTTCACTATGCTTTTGTCCCTAAGAAACACCAATTCTTCTTTCATAAATTCAGTGACTCATCATTTGACAGACTGTAACTACACTCCATTTATAGCCCTGTATTCCCTTGGCTCTATGACCTCCATCAAGGTTCCAGACTTTACTTCAACATCTATGGCCTTTCTTTCTCAGTCGTTTTCCCTCGTCGGTCTTTTTCTATATGAGTCCTTAGATGCAAGAGGTCTTCAAGACTCAATGTTAAATCGTGTTTTCCTCTCACCGTATACTCTTGCCCTAGCTAACTTTGTCTATTCTTATAGTTTCATACAACTTATATGGTAACAAATCCTAAAAATACTTCAACAAAGATATTTTTTGAACACCAAACCAATAGAAATAGCCACGTTCTGATAACAGCACTCAGTTGTCTAATCAGCCATATCAACATGCTTAGAATTGGATCTAAATGTTCTCCGTCCCACCCCTAAAATTCACCTTTCTGTTTAAGGTTTCTGTTCTCCATTCATTCAGCTGCTGATCAAACTCAGAAACATTTTCAAAACACTTTTCTGTATCATAATGATTACCAAGTCCTTGACTTATATCTTACATAGTACGTTTCTCCCTCTGAAATACATCTTGTATAGTATGTTTCTCCCATCTGCACTGTCACTGCCATTTCTCGCCTATTCTATAGCAATAGCATCATACCAGCCTTTTTGTTTATTACTTGGCTTCCCAGTTCATCTTACCAGCCTCATTCTATATCACACTCCCCATTACTCAAAACAAACAAACGAAATTCTATCAGTTCCCTGATCAGCCTTTGTCCTTTCTTCTCAAAATACATTAATACATGCTGTTCTCTTCTCTTGGAAATGCTTTATTGGTTGACTCACACTCATCCTTCAGGTTTCAACTTACACACCAATTTCTCAGAGGCCTCCCTTTACTTTTCACCCAATCTCTGGTGTATGCTGCATTCCACGCTGCACAAGGGTTCAAAGACATAAGAGGGAACGGCAGGGGATAAAGAAAGATATACAGACAGACATATAAAGGTGGGCCAGGTGGTCCAAAAAGCTGGTGTTAGTCTCTTTGGCCCCATCCGGCCTCAGAGTACTTTATTTTATATGTTCACAAAGCACATAGCAGAGGGAGGGTGCAGTTACCCAGAACAGCCTGTGGTTATAATTCTCATACTTCAGTTAACATACCTCAGCTAACAACTATTTTGCAGCAAGGTCAGTGAAAGCTGGTTATCTTTTGCTAGGTCCAGCTGCTTTTCTCTGAGACATACACATTCCCCTATTATGGTTTCACTTCTCTGGAGTTCACCCAAAGTTGACAGCAGCCTTGCTGCTGATCCCCCTACAGGGGGTGGGCTACTCTGGCTCTCTACACCAACCCAAATTAGATTTTGCTATGTCACTGTCTCAGCAACCTCTACTCTTCCCTTGCAGCATGTATCATGACTTAGAAGTGTTCATTTATTTATATTAGTATATATTTATATCTATTTAAATATCTGAAATGCAATACATTCATAATTCAAAAATCAAAACGTATATTAAGATATATGTGGAAAAGTCTCATTTCCCTTCCAATCTTCAACTACCCTGGCCCACCTCCACCACTGGTTTGTGTCATTTTATTAGCTCATTGTTTACTTCTTATGTAAAAATGATTATATTTTCTTATTTGAGCCCTTTTTAATTTTTAACACCTAGAATTTTAATATGCTGTTCTAGATTTCAATACTTTATTCAATTTAAAAATATGTTTTAGAAATCATCCCACACCAAATATACATTTCTTTTTCAATCTTTCTTCACAGATGTATAGTATTACATATGTGGATTAACATACCATATTCAACTATTATTGGTTCTTTTCTATTACAAACAATGCTGTAATTAATAACCTTCACAAATACCATTTTGTATTTGTACAGCTGTTTGTATAGGATATATATTCTAGAGAGTTTAGTCAAACCAAAAAGCATTGCTAGTTTTCCCGAGGATTTCTACAACTTTGTGTTATCATCAAGGACATGTGAGAATGCCTATCTTCCAGAGCCTTAAAAAATAAAAGTGTCATTAAACCTCAGAATTTTTACCAGTCTCGTAGGTGAGAAATTGAATTTTGGTGTATATTGAATGTGAAATATTTTATTAATTAAAAGTGTGCTAAGTTATCTTTTTGTTAAAGAATCAACTAGTCTAACTTCTTTTTCTTTCAACTATCAGTTTTTATCTATGGCTCATTTTTCTATTAGGTTGTTAATTATTTTCCTTTCATGATTTTTTTTTCAGGAGCACTTTATATACAAGAAGATTAGACTATGTCAGTGTATGCTACAAATGTTCGATTTTACATTTTTTTGACTTTTTTTCTAAGCAGAATTTGTCTGCTTTCAGTTTTCTTACTGTTAAATTTATCAATGATTTATTTGGGGTATCTGGATAATGAGTCACAATTAGAATGGCTCTTCCCAGTCTAAGATTTCTTCCTTATTTCCTTTTATAATTCCTATGTTGTTTTCTTTTGTTTTTGAACATTTAAATCTCTGATTCATTTGAAGGTTATCCTACTGTCAACGGATGTATGAATTCAAATTTTCTTTGTCTAAGTAACCATCCAATTATCCAAACACCATTTATTAAGAACCAACTTGCCCCCCTCTGCTGATTTCAGGGCCATCTTCATCATACGCCACATTCTAATAAGTTTTGGGATCTCCTTCTGGACTTTCTCATATGTACGGCTTGTTTAAGGTCTGCTGTATTACTAGACTCTATGTAACATGGGGGTTAGGACTGTGTCTGTTTAGTTTTGCCTGTGTCCCTAGAGTTTATAACAGTGCCTGGCATATGTAGGCCCTAAATGCATATTTGTTATATTTTTTGAATGTTTACAAAGTTCTAGGAGAATGTTTCCCTTTTCTCCACAAATGGGTTTAAAGATTACTTAACATTTTTAATGTAATAACAAATATTTTACAGAAAATGAAAATAAAAAATGAGTAATAGACAATATACAACATTAGGTACTTCTATTTGAGATATATGACATTTTCTCTTAAGTGAAATATTAATATATTTTTACAAAATCATTTAATTATATATATGTTAACAGGAATTAGAGAATATTGAAATGTTAACATCTCATGAACATTTATATTAAGCACAAGCAGGATAAATCAATTTCATATACAGTAAATGCTGGGATTTGCAGATGCAATGTTAATTTTTCCACACACATTTAAATAACCCTAGGGATCCAAAATATTTAGTAAGTTGCAATATTTTGGGGAAGCATGATTTTGAAATGAAAATATTATCATATAAAATCACATCATGTAGCTCAAGGCTAAGCCCACCCTTGAGGCCCAGTATCTGCTTTGCAATGCAACTTTACTGTTCTCTTATTGACGATTGACTTCACTTTATGTAGGGCATTCATTCCTTTATACCAAGGAGAAAATCTGGACAATTTTTAATCATAGGTGGCAAAGAATTTGGGGATTTTCAAAGACCTCAAGACATTCTTCTTGCAAATGTCAATAATCTACCATATTTTAAAAGTGCAGCATTCCATTTTAAAGTTATTTATACATTCAGATAAATTTATTTCATTCTTCATAGGCAAAGAAGCAGCATTAACAGCAAAATAGCACTCAATTTCAACAGTATGCAAGTACATCTTCAAGATTAAATGTTAATAAGACAGTAACTAAATGTTAAATACTGACAACACTTTTAATAGCAGTTTTAATGATTAAAAAATAAAAGTTCAAGATCTCTCTTCTCTACTTAGCAAATGATGCTATATTTTCCTCTCCCTTATTACTAGAATAACAGTATATGGGGGGCATTTTTCAAACATGTTGAACTTAAAATACTTAATTCTATACAATGCAAACTCTTTAAAAATGAAGTATTCTGTGATATACTCTTACCATACACTGTTGAGGATTTCAAAAGTGACATAGTACTGGAATAAGAGAGACCTAGAATGTAATCCAACTGTTAATGTGAATTTACTATATTGTTACACTGAATAAATTGGTACAAGTCACACAGCTTCTCTGGTTATCTGTTACAGCTGCAAAATGAGGGGGATTTATAATGACTTCCCTAATAACCATTCAGGTTTTAAATAATCTATTATCTGTCTCTAGGCATATCACTTTTTATTGCTATCTAGATGCCAATTTTAACTGATCTTATTTACCAGACTAATGAGTACAGATTAAAGGGTATCTTAATTTGGATAGCTATGGCAGACTTTAAAAATTAAGAAAAAATAGCTATTGAGTGAAATTGAAGGAATTTTGCAAAATAACCTCCCAATCAGTGAGAAGATACTGTATCTGCACCAGGTTGCAATTAAACACCTAATAGCATTTCAGCTGAACAACTTAATCATTTGATTTTCCAAAATAGAGTAAAGCAATAAATCTAATTTTGCTATTGGAACTGTGTACATATTTTATACCAATTGCTAAATTTCCATATTCCAAGTCTGAAAAATACAGTATTGTTAAACAGTATAAATCTGCCACGTGCCTAAGTAATAGTGATAAAAGTTAACTCTATTTGACATTATGACATTTTATAGAGTACTTGGAACCCAAGAGTTTAATTCCACTGGCAGGTACAGTCTATGGGTTCCTGGAGAGTGTACATGATTTCAGTGCCATTTCCTGAGCAATACAGAGGCACAGTCAAGTTTCGTATTCCATTTTCACGACAACACTTGCAGAATCTTAGGTGACTTTCAATATTGATGTTATATATGGTAGCTGATGGGCATTTGCCATCACAAGATGCAACATTTATCTGTAAGAAGTGACAATGAGAAAAAAAGTCTTAAACTTTTAAAAGTACTGGTTATTATTTAATTCCACTAAGAAAATCAGATGAAAAGCTTTCTTCCTCATCACTCTAACCCTCAAGCTTCTGCATGCTGGAAGACTGTGAAAAACAATAAATGAAATATCATTCATACAGTCAAAGGGATATTCCATGGCAATGCTCAACATAGCAGTGTTGACATAACTCCAAGTTAAATGTGCACACATAACTTGACATATATATTTACATATATACACACACATATATGGAATATGTTCATCACAATATAGTTAATTTATTGTAACCTGTGTTATATCATGGCTCAAGTAGACTGTAGAATTGAGCAGGTAATATTAAAAGAGGCAAAGGTAGAAGCAGCACTCTTTTTGCTGAGTAAAATTGCAGAGTGAAGACAACATGTAGTCAAATACATTTAGATTCAATTTCTATCCCTCCCAATTGCAATTATCATTCAGAACTGTTGATTATGCTAAGAATAATTTATACTTCTTCATAAACACAAAATTGTAATATTAGAATGTAGGAATAATTTCAGTTAAATATTGTAGGTGGTGGCATTTTGTTGGCTTACAAACTTATTAGTTCTGTAACATATATACTTTCTAAAAAGTTGTGTGCCATTTATGTAGCAAATGACATTTTTCCACTTACAGGGCTTTGGCTCATACAGTCCTGTTTTCTTATGATTGATTTAATGATCACTCTCTGGCATATTCTTTCTTCTCGTTTGCCTGATAAAATATAAAATGTGTTTATTCATCAAAAGGCCCATGTTAAATTGTTTCTTAATTAAATTAAATATATGAATATATTTGCAGTTAAAACTTCCCTCTTACATTTTTATATGCAATATTTAGTTTTGCCTTCTAAATCTTATATTTTACCTTTTAAGTCATATTTTCTGGCTTTACACTTACTGATTTCCACTTTTTACCTTCTTGTCTTAGAATAACTATCATAATTAGAAATTAGAAATATTCCACACATGTAATAATGCTAACATCAACCTCTGTGTGGCATATGTGTTTAAAATAATTTTTGAAATGAACCATAGAGTGTATAAATAAATATATGCATATAATTAATGCATAACTACATGATTCTAAAATAAAAATTGAGAGATTTAAAACCACACTTTTTTAATGGACATTAATATGAAATAATTCAAACTTTTAATGGAATCATTTATCAACTATATTGAAATGTACAGATGAGTCATACTTGATTTTATGGCTCTGAAATGGTCTTTTGTAATTTCAAATGAAAACACTTTGTACACATTCATGATATCTTAATATGTGTCTGTGTGTGGTGGATTATCACTTGCTATTACATGCAAGCATCTATATTTAATGATGTATGATAGTGGATGTAATACCTGAATCAAGATGAAAAAACCAAGGTCCTTTCTATTCCAAACTTGCCTTGTCACTCTAGAAAAGTCACTGAATCATCATGCTGAGTTTCCTTACTTACAAAAGAGTGAATTTATATCCCAATTTTCAAATAAATTTAGCCATGAAATCCTAATTTAAAACAATCTTAACATGTAAAACAAAGATTAAGCTACTCTGGTTGAAGGAGAGGTGGGTAGCTAAGATTGATTGAAGTATTATTGTCCTTCTCAAGGTCACTCATGAACTCCAAATTGCTGAATTTCAAGATCATCTCTCAGTTCTCAACTTATTTGGCTTCTCAGCAGCATTTGACCCAGTCCATCACTCTGTCCTCCTAAATGCACCTTCCACACTTGGCTTCCAGAGCTCACTGGCTTTGGTTTTCATCCTATCTCACTCATGGCTCCTCCTCAGTCACCTATGCTCGTTCTGTCTCTTTTCACTGACCTCTTGCTCATAGTGTGACCCAAGGCTCAGTCCTGTTGGTTGAGTTCAGGCTATTCTGTCCCTTATGGTGCTTCCACTCAGTGATTATTTCCTTGGCTCTTCCATTCTTATGTAAGTTCAAGAATAAAGAATAGTCAAGGACAATTCATCTTTACTATGACCTATAAGATGCTTCACCCTCTTCTTTCTATCACCTTCCTCCTCTTACTTTCTGTGCAATAGCCACATTTTACTATTTCCTCCACTTTAAACACTCCACTATCTGGGTGGCTTCCCAAGGACACTCACTCTCTACTCAAATGATAACTCATCGCCAAGGCATTTTCTAAGCTGCAACTTAAGTTAGCAATCCAGCTCCTCTCACTCTCCATTCCTTTCATTCTACATCATTTTTCTTCATACCACTCATCACTGCCTGACATATTAGAATATATTTATGAGTTCGTTGTTTCTTTCCCTTCCTGATAATGAACATTCTCCATGCACATATTGCTTCATTCACTATTATGGTCCCAGTGGCTAAAAAGATCTTCATGATGTAGGCACTCAACAAAAACCCAAAAAGTTAATTCATTCAGTAAATGAAACTGGGACAGTATTAATTTATTGTTAGCTGGTACCAAGAGGCATTTCTAATCCATTTCTCAAAAACTTTATTGTAACATATTTTATTTAACACAGAGCCTGTGATTATATCCAACCTCCACACTCTACAACACAGGCTAGTCTTCAGATAGCAAAGGCAGCAGAAAAGGGTTTTCTAATATGCCAGCAGGAACTACGTTACAAGTCATTTCACATTAGATGGGGGAAACTGAAGTTGCTTGTTATTATTCTGCAACTTTAAAGAACTTAGCAGAGATGAAAGATCCTGGGCCCATACACTGGACAGGCCTAAATTTATTATTGACTAGTTTGATCAGCTTCTCTCTGAACCTTCTAGTTCTCATCTGTAGGGAAAACATACTGCTTCCCAGAACTGTTGTGAGGATTAGTTGTGGTCCTGTCAACAATGCGCTTAATAGAGTATCAATTTGTGGCAGGCAATAGTGGTCATTCATATGATTAGTCACAAAGCTGTTCCCCTGTCTGCCCTAACATAAATGTACTCACTTCTCTAATAATTAACACGGAGATACAGAAACCAGGACCTTAACATTGCCATGTGACTCTATTCCTGTATCTCAGAACTTAAGGAACAGTCTAGACTCTGAGGAAGAAGATGGAAAAAAAAGTGAATCTTAAATTTCCTCATATTCTAAAGCTAAATTTTATTCTTTGAGTCCCTGATACAATGACTATTTGATACATCTTAGTTTATATTTTATTTAGAGAATATGAATGAAAACTTGCTTATTTCTAATGAACAGATCAGTGTATATCTAATTAAAGCCTTAGTAATTAAAAATATATAGGTGATATTATACTATCCCCCAAAGTCTTAGCCATATAATTATCATGGGTTGAATTGTGTCTTTTAAAAATGTCTGCGTACCTTAGAATGTGATGTTATTTGGACACAAGATCTTTGCAGGGATAACTGAGCCAAAATGAGATCATTAGGGAGCTTTAATTCAATATTCCTGATGTTCATGTAAAAGGGGAAATTTGGAGGCAGACACAATAAAGAGAAAACGCCATGTGAGCATGAAGCTGGCCATCTACATGCCAAGGAAAGAGGTTTGGAGCAGATCTCTTTTACAATCTCTCCAAGGAACCAATCCTGCTGACATCTTGGTTTTCTAGTTCTAATCTCCATAACTGTGAAACAATAAATTTCTATTTCTAACCACTTTTTGGTTTGTTGCAGCAGCCCTGCAAACTAATACAACAACAAATTAGATGTCAGGCCATCCTATGTTGGACTTGTTTGCTTGTTGTAAGTGTGTATGTGTACAGTGAATTTGACTTTTTACACATTATGTAAATAAAAGTTCAGTCATTTTAGCCCTGCCACTTCAGCAGAGCTCCTCCTTCATCCTCTGCCCTTTCCTAAAACTTGTCCTGGTAATGTTCCAGAATACCATGAAGTGTTAAGAAGCAGGATGTGAAATCAGGCCAGCAGTAGATTTCCAGCCTTACAACTCATAAGAGGTATGACTTAGACAAATTATTTAACCCCACTAAGCTGAAAATCAAGATAATATCAGAACCTATTTCATTGGATTTGGGGGAGAATAAATCATAATATATTACATATTATATATTGTATATAGATAGTATCTAGTACAGTATATTGTATTAATATTTTAATACATTCTAATATTTGATTCAATATGACTCTCTGGATCTGAAAACATAAGACTACTCTTATATATGTATGGGATTTAGTCCTTCATGAAATAAATTCAGAAATCTCCCTCAGGAGGCATGCCCATTCATATCTAAGAATCCGACCCAATAGCATGGTATTATTAAATTGAACTTTGTTGTTCACCTTTCCTAAAGCCTTCTCTAAATTTTAAAATTACTGTCTATGCCAATTTTCTCAAAATTCCTACTTTTATATTGAGATAAACTCATAAACACTTTAGAAAGAAAAAGTAAATATGGTTTCATGGATAACCCTCTATTCTATTTCATTTTTTAAAATTATTCAAAAGTACTATGAAATAGTAATCCCAGCACTTTGGGAGGCTGATGCAGGCAGATCACTTGAGGCCAAGAGTTTGAGACCATCCTGGCCAACACAGAAACCCCATGTCTACTAGAAATACGAAAATTAGCAGGTGTGGTGGTGTGTACCTATGATCGCAGCTACTCAGGAGGCTGAGGCATGAAATATCCTTGAACCCAGGAGTCAGAGGTTGCAGTAGGCTGAGATTGTGCCACTACACACCAGCCTGGGCAATAGAGCAAGACTCCATCTCAAAATAATAATAATAATAATAATAATTGGTCGGGGCATGGTGGCTCACGCCTGTAATCCCAGCACCTTGGGAGGCCAAGGGGGGCAGATCACAAGGTCACCCTGGTCAACATGGTAAAACCCCATCTCTACTAAAAATATAAAAAATTAGCTGGGCATGGTGGTTCGCACCTGTAGTTCCAGCTAGTCTGGAGGCTGAGGTAGGAGAACTGTTTGAACCCAGGAGGCAGAGGAGGCAGTGAGCCGAGATTGCACCACTGCACTCCAGCATGGTGGCAGAGAGAGACTCTGTCTCAAAAAAAAAAATACTATGAGATAAACCTTATAATTCAAGCTAATAAAAAATATATTGCATTCAGATAACTTTAATTATGAAAATAATTATGGGAATTTTTATGAAACGGATAAAACTACAATTCATTAAAATGATATTATCCCAAATTTATTGTACAAAGCTATACACTTGTTCAAACAGGTTTGAAAAATACTGCACTCCATATGTTGTCTTTGGAGTCACAATGCCATTCTAACTATAATCTACTTGTTTGTGTAAGTTCACCATGGTTCAAACAAATACATCACAAGACACTTTAAAATTTTAAATATATTGAAATCTAATGAAATACCTTTCTGGATATGCCACAATAAAAAAATTAATATTCAAATCAAAATTAATCTAAACAAAAACACTTAATTTACACTCCAGAAGTTAAAGATTAAATCATAAAATTATTAACCACACGATTCAAAAACCTTTAAGTAATATATTTTATAAAACTTGTTTTTCTCTTTGCATCATAGGAATTGAATTTTGTGAGGAAAAACCATAATCACCATGAGCAATTAAAACTAATCTATGAAGTAAATGCATGGAATATGCTGTCACTTACAGATCTTGCAGCAGCCTTCATTATAAAGCTTCACAATCCCTTCATTCTAGAAGGAGAAAGAAGAAATAAAGTCAAAGAATATGGAGTTCATTCGTGTTCTCTTATACTAGAAAAGAAAACTAACTTTTCTAAAACTTTTATCAAATATCACAAAGCCTTTATAGAAAAATAATTGGAATTTAACTATTCCTAATAAGAATTTCTCTGTTTATAAAATTCAGAGTAGACATTTTGTTTAAAATTACATTATTTATACATTGGCACTATGGAAAATAGTGTAAAAGAATTCTTTTAATTAAAAGAACACTTTAAATGTCACAAAATATTTTTACTAAAACAAAATAATAACAGCTCTTCTAACTAATGATCATTATATATTTTCAACTTCTTGAAATAACCTAAACTAATTCTATTTGACTTGAGTTTCTGAATATAACTAAATGTTAAAATTGCACATCTTTTTCTTTAATATTTTATTATTTACAAATATTTCCTTCCTCAGAGGACACTTGTCTAAGACTAAATTCTTACAAGAATTGCTAATTGCTTTAGCAACCTGCTAAGTGCAATTGAAATAAGAGAATGTTGTACTCTATAAATATTAGTCTGTTAACTATGATGATGGCCAAGTTTTTTCCAGTGCTAAAATTCTGTGAATTTAGTACATGTTATAATATCTAGCTAGTCAGCCATCCATCATCATTGGAAAGGTACGTCCTGAAAAAAAAATTCAATGAGACTAAACTATACTATTTCTCTATATGACAGAACAAAACTTACTTTTATTAGGAATTATTATTGTCTAAATAAACAAAGCTACAAAAATTGTGAAAACTAAAAACTATATCATGTTCATAAATCTACTCTCCCAGTAAACTCTCCTCTGAGAGAATAGGGAAATTGATAGAGCAAAACTTAAGAATAGGCAACATTGTGACTTTTACTAAATATTTTGGGGGACTGTGACCAGAAAAGCTAAGGCAAATGTAATATAGACCAGCACACATTAAACTTGAATGACATCATAAATCTTGCTGTTTAAGAAAGAAAATTGGCCAAGCTCTGATTCCTTAGCTTATTGATCCATATTAACGGGAAGGCCAAGACTGCTGACCAAATGATTTTTCAATAGTCTTTGGATCTATACATTAAAAACCCAACAATTGCAAAGTATCTATTCAAAGACAGCAAAAATTATCTGGAACATGATATATAACTCAAAATTTCAAACTCAAAAAAATAGAACAGAGCTTTTATTTAGTCATGAAAATAACATGTTCACTACAATGTATAAGCCACAATGTAAATATGACCTTAGAAAATATTAATGTATATTTTCTAAAATACATAATACAAAATTTTCTTAGATATAACAAAGTACAAACCATTTTGCATTCAGTCTCATTAAAAGGAGGACAGACCATAGTGTAGTTCAGAATTATTGCCCCTTCATCAGTTTTAATACATTCATATGTGGTGCAATTGTAGTGCCAGGTACTCCCTTCCTAAAAATTGAAAAGAAAGTTACTGTTTAGCATATTAAAATCGGCTGTATTTCTTAAGTACAGTATATTCTATACTCTACTGAATAAAAAGTCAAATCAAGATGCAGAGGCTTCTTGTGACACAAAATGTTCCATCTGAAAATGACCTCAAATTTATCTTAAATGATTAAAAATACATATACATGTATGGTGTGTACTTACCTAAAATGATAAAAATACATACACATGTATGGTGTATTTGTATATGCTAGATTTCATACCCGAACTGAGAGGTAAATTGAAACAAAATAATAGAGAGTGAAGAAGCAAATAGGTATCTGTTTCTACTACAAAATTATCTAATTTAACTGTCAAAGGTCTTGCTCTAATATTTCCTCACTAATTATAAAACAACAAATCATATTACTTACATACATCCTTTCTTGAGATGTGTTTATTCTTCCTGCTTGTCCCTTATTGCCAAAAGGTGTAAAGACATATTTAAACGACAGTGTTTATTGGTTTGTAAATCTAATTGTGCATACCTTACATCATTTTAAAATTTATCTGTATTCTTTAAAGAAATATTTAAATATAGTAACTGTTTCACTTCTGATTTCAGAATTTCTATTTAAAAGTAAAGTCAGATGAAATAATTGTTAATCTATATTTTTATTTTATAACTCACATAAAAAATTAGTAGTTAATGTCAGCATTACTTAAGCAAAAAGGATTATTTGATGGAAAATATGTCTCTTTTTCATTTTATTCTATTTTAAGAAAGTTAGCCAGGGTTAGGGGCATGTTGTTCTAGGCCTTCTCAGTTTATCAAAGATTTTATCATAAACTAATTAAGGCCATTCTTTTGATAAACTGGTACGTCAGACCAGATTGCCAGCTATGATGAAGAAGGCTACATTTTTTGAATCTCAAGTAACTTTCTGTGCTGCTGGACAAATTGACTTAATTCTGTACAGGCAAACACTTTGAATCATAAGGCTTAATTTTATTGTGACTCCATCCTTACTACTATTCATGATTCAAACCTCTACCCCTCTTCTGAATCAGGATGTTGACACTTTGTGGTTATTTTCAGATGAACAGTAACTGCTACATTCTTGAAAGCACTTAAAGGAAGCATAAGCATGTTCTGAATAGTCAACCATTAACCTGGTAAACATGGGCTTTTCTGTTTATTCAAGTATTAGATCAATATGTAGATACAATCTTAAAGGATTTTAAGAAGTAATGAAGAAAGTTTGGGAAAGGAAAAGGCACTTTAAGGACATGAAACCTTACATTACATGCTCTTAGTTATATATATATATATATATATTTTTTTTTTTTTGACAGCATCTCCCTGTCACCAGGGTGAAGTGCAGTGGCGTGATCTCAGCTCAGGCTCACTGCAACCTCCGACTCCCTGGTTCAAATGATTCTCCTGCCTCATCCTCCTGAGTGGCTGGGATTACAGACATATGCCACCATGCCTGGCTAATTTTTCTATTTTTAGTAGAGATGGGGTATCACCATGTTGACCAGGATGGTCTCAATTTCTTGACCTCGTGATCCACCTGCCTCGGTCTCCCAAAGTGCTGGGATTACAGGTGTGAGTCACCACACTCAGCTGCTCTTGGATACTTTTAAACATAATAATTTCATTGGATTCAGGTTTTTTCCTTTGCATTTTTAAAAATATGTATTTCTAATTTGTTTGCATATTTAATTTTGTCAAAGCTGAGAAATTCATGAGTTGAATTTATAAATCCACTCTTTATTTGCAGCCAAAGGAAGTATTTATTTTTAAAAAGAAAATATGAAGAAACCAATACTTATTTGTACATAATAAAAACATATGTGTGTGTTTACATACATATACATATATTTCTTTTTCCTTGACACTACATGCTCACCATATCAAGTGTATTTTTTGTAAATAATATATATTGGCTAGAAAAATGTCAATTGTCTATTCAAAGAATTCTATCTCTGTGATAGATTATATTTATACTAATCTGTTGATACCTTTGTTAATTTGCTTTAAGAGATAAAATTTTATTTTTGGAATTTGCAAAACAAAATAGTAGTAATAGTCAAACTTTGGCTTGAAGATATCTTACAGATCAGTAAAGAATTCTAATGAACCTACTTTCTTTTCTCTAGATTCTAAATTTATGTATAGCTTAAGGTCTTCTATGAACTTCAATTAGAAAAGATCTATACATATTCAAATTCAAGGAACAGTAATATTTAATTTATCTGAAAATGAAAATTGCTGTCACATAAAAACATTAATTGTTCCTTCCCTTCATAATCAGAATTTCTGAAAGCCTATTTCTTACATCTATTAAAAAAAGGAGTAAAGATCTATGATACAATAAGTTTGAGACATAATTGAAGCATTTTTCTTTACAACATAAATTATCAGATACTTTACAATGTAACAAATGTAACTGTGTCTTGTGTGCTGTAAGTGTACTGTGTTTATTGTATGCAGTGCAGCATGTGTGTGTGTGTGTGACATTTTCTGAACTTATTACTCAAGAACACCTCCTTCAAGAAATAGCACAGTGTGACTTTCCATGAAACATACCGCATATATAACTGATGTTCCATTTTCCATATGAAATTTACAGGATATATTTCTGCAGGTACCACAACAATCATAATCACTTTGGGATGGAGTATACACCTGGTGCTGCATATAATAATAATATATTAGATTAGTGACACTATATCAATATTTTTAATGAATTACTTGGGGAGAATTATTTCTTCCAAACATAACTAGAAGCTCTCTCCAGACAACTGTAAGAATTCCTAAGGCTGAATATGAGAAACTTCCAATAATAACTGACTTTATATGGTTATATTAGAAGTGAGATAGATGTTAACCTTTACTTCTGACAGCCAAATTAACCAAGCAGGTCTAACAACCTCAGGTAAGGAAATATGGCAAGCTGTAGATAATAAGACTCCTGAAGTTCAAGGTCATACACAGGAAAGTGAAAGTATATGTTTTATAGACATATTACAAAATAGTAACTTTTTTAAATAGTAGACTATTAAAGAACTATACAGTGTATATTTTCAATTAATGGAGTACTCACTGTTTTATTCTATAGTTCTGCCACTTTTTAATACATTAACTCTCACCAGAATGACTTATAAAGAATACTTACAACATCACATTTTTTGGAACAATTCACCAGTATGAAATTCAGAGTATGAAACCCTGTATGGTTATCTTTTTCTTCCAGACACTCTATTGTATAACAAAAGTCCTCTTCCAAATACTTTATCATGGATTGTCCAGGATTCAATACTGATACTTCTTGAAATACACACACATCATCCTTTTCTAAGAATAGAAAAAATGGTCAATAAGAAAATATACTATTGAATTTTTCACTAATCCATCATTGGAACTTATATTTGAGTCTATGTTTATGTTGTGATGTGCCAATTTTTCAAAACTAATGAAGATCTTCACATTTACATATTGTTAATAACCCAATAGTTTACTTAATAATTAATGTAGTACACTATTCCTTAACATAAAATAAAAGTTTATCTGTAAAAGCAACTGTTGTTTACTGATTGAACTTCCTCCAAAAGCTATATTTTATAGCAAGTTTGGAATATGAGCTCTTGGCCAGGCACAGTGGCTCACACCTATAATCCCAGCACTTTGTGAGTCTGAGGCAAGAGGATTGCTAGAGACCAGAAGTTTCAGACCAGCCTGGGGAACACAGCAAGACCTCAACTCTCAGAAAAAAAAAAAAAAAAAAAAGCTGGGTGTGGTGGTGCACGTCTGTAGTACCAGCTGAGGTGGAAGTATTGCTTGAGCCCAGAAGTTCAAGGCTGCAGTGGGCTAGGATAGGGTCACTGCACTCCAGCCTCGGTAACAAAGCAAGACCCTGTCTTAATAAAAATAATAATAATAACATAATGGACATAACTTCATACTCTTTAGATGTCTAAATTAAATATGGAAATATTAAAAAGAGCCTAATATCAACTCTAAAGTAATCCGAGGCTTCTGAAAAAGTATTTATATTTCTGTCCTGTTATCCAGGTCTCAGAACATTTAGAGATACTACGAAAGAGGAAATCAAAACATAAAATACATTTTAATGCTCAAATACTGGCAAATGGCTTAAAATGTATAATACGTGTCTCAAAAAATGAGATTTTTAGCTTACCAATAATGAAAAACAGGTGCCAATAATATTTATTTATAATTAAAAGTTATAAAAGACATAGTTACCACAGAGATACTGTATGCATCCACAGTCACTCTGGAAGTTATGGTCTATTGTAGTAAATTCTCCCTATTGGAAATATATGACTATTACTTATCATTTAGCTTATTATGTAACAATTGTTGTATGTATATAGACACACATACACATACATACTCAGTGATAACATCCAATAAGTTCCTTATCACACAGCCAGATACTTTAAAATCATATTGTTTGATTCTGAGCTTCTGTAGGGCAATCAAAGATAACATTTGCCAACCCTGGGAACTTTGCTTCTGGAAAAGTTCTCAATCTGCTCTACGGAGGCAGCTCGGGGCTCTGATGTCTGCATCTGCACAAAGCTGCTATAGCATATACAGCAGCAACGAATGAGTATAGTACAGTGGTTAATAGCAGTCTTAGAAATGGAACTGCCTGTGCGCCAGTCCTGGCTCCATAACTTACTAACTTTTTTATTTAGGGCACATTACTTAATCAATCTGCTCCTCACTTCCCACATCTGCAATATGGGGATAATAATAATGCCTACCTCTTAGGATTGTTGAGAGAAATAAACGTATCAATATACATAAAGAGTTTGGAATAGGGCTGACACACAGAAAGAGCTATAGAGCCTTTTACTGTTAGTACATTGTTACTATGACAGATGCTCAAACTTTGCCCTATCAGAACTGACAGAGATTCTTCCCACCAAATAAGGACCAGGCTTAAAGTTTCAAGAATGGTATTTTAAGCATCAACTTTTGTTGGATGCATTTAATTTTCACATGACATTAGTAATAAAATGAATTTGATTCTTGACACAAATAAATGATTCCAATACAATCATATAAAAGGCACTTTTTCTCATAAGCTAATAATTTCTTGCGTTTCATGTGCCTTATAAGTTGTAAAGTAGTTTTATGAATATTAATTCATTTGATGTTTTAGGACTTTAGTCATTAGACAATACCAATGGGACTTGAAATAAATGTTAGAATGATGTAGTTAAAAAAATAAATCAAATCCTCCCAGTGCGTGACTACTTCAAAGATTTTTAAAAGATGGCATTACGCTCACATTAACTCTTTTAGGTAACATATATACCTGTTTTTAATAGTTAAAGCCATAATGTTAACTCTGTTTCCTTGAGCTTAGGCTTAAATCTATCCTTTATACTCATATCCTTTGAGGCCTTATCCACATATTCAATTATGCTTTTATTCTAAGTAGCCAATTTGACCAAAAGGAAATGCCTCTTTGATTACCAATATTAAATATTACCTGAAAAAATATGGTAATTTTTACTCCCAAATAATCATCCCTCTCCTTTAAAGTCTGCAGCAAAATCACTTTAGGCTGCTTCCACTTTGGGTTATCATGAAGAGTGCTGCTGTGAACATTCAAGTATAAGTTTTTATGTGGACATACGTTTTCATTTCTCTTCAGTATATATTTAGGAGTGAAACTGTTGGGTTACATAGTAACTCTACATTTACCTTTCTGAGTAATAGCCAAGGTGGTTTCCAAAGCAGCTGCACCATTTTACATTGCCGTCAGTAGTGTATAAGGGTTTCCATTTCTCCACATCCCTGCAAATGTCTTTTTTTGGGTCTTTTTAGTGGGATAATATAATGGGTTAATATACATGGAGGCTTATGTATATTTGGGCAAGATGTGCAGTGATATCTCACTATAGTTCTGATTTGTATTTAAGTGATACTTAATGATGTTAAACATCTTCTCATGTGTTATTGGTCATCTGTATATTTTATTTGGAGAAATGTCAAGGTATATCCATACGATGGACTATTATTAACAATAAAAAGAAATGAAGTCATCACATATGCAACAACATGGATTAACTTTGAAAACATGATAAGTAAAAAGAGTCAGACACAAAAGATCACATATATAATTATCTTTATAGGAAATACCAAGAACAGAAATACACAAAGAGACAGAAAGTAGAGTAGAGATTTCTGAGGGCAGGAGAGTTTGGAGAGAAATGAGGAATGACTACTGATAGGTAAAGTGTTTCTTTTTTAACTGGTGAAATTCTTCTAAAATTGATTGTGTTAATGGTTGTACAACTCAGTGAATAAACTAAAAGCCATTGAACAGTACACTTTAAATGGCTGTATTGTATGTTAGGTGAAGTTATTTCAATAAAGCTATTATTTTTTAAAAATTGTAAAGGCCTAAAATACTCTTTTTAGGTTGAGATACATTTGTCTATGTGAATAAAGTAATGTGATATTTTTAAAAACCACCTTAGTCACTGAAACATTAACCATTATTCAGAGTGAGTACCAGGAACAATGAGTCAGATAAATCCTTGGGTAGAACCATGAATGTTAAAACTAAATCATCATGGATAGAGGGTTTTATATATTTGGGTAAGATGTTCAAAGATATTCAAGCTACTAATTATGTTTTGTGTGTCTAGCACAGTGCTAACAATATAATAATCATTAAATAAATGCTTGAGCCATGAATGTCAAAATATGATTCATAATTAATATTCAGACATTGAGAGTTGGACTGGAAGCAAGCCAGATGGGCCAGCATCTAGCACAAGTGCTAGGGAAGGAAAACACAAGAAAAGAGAAAGTGGAGAATGGTAGAAATCCACTAGGAAAAAAAAATACAGAGTTAAGGTCACAATGAGACCAAGGTTAATGAATGAACATAGAGACCTCTACCCCAAAAAACTTCAAAGGGTCTAGAACAAAGGAAGTATAAAATCCCATGGGAAGAAAGGCCAGGATTTTCTTGTTACATTTGAAGTTATTGAAATGACTCAAGATGCTATGTCACTTTTTCCATGCCAAAAAAAGGAGCTCTGAATGAGGTTGATTACAAGTCAAATACCAGGACATCTACTCTCAGCTGCTCCTCTGGCCATTGGAAAGTTTGTCCAAGGACCTAGTAATCTTGGACTGTTGGTGTGCAAGGCTTGAAACCTTAAAGTTTTTTAAGATCTCTCTCTTTCTCTCCCTCTCTCTCTCTCTAGCTTCCTATCCCTCTCTCTCTCTCTTCCCTCTTCCCTCCTCAACACATTTGTTCAATGTTACAAATGGCCAACGTCTTTCATTTTGCTCTCCTAAATTAACACCGACTTCACAATACCCAAGATGTTTATACATGATTGGCTATGCCAGTATCTTTGCTGATCTTCTGCCCTCTAATGTTTTATTGCCCATATCCTGCTATGCACTAATAGAAACATCTCCCTCAAACACCATTTTCATCATAATTTTCATCCTATGCACAACTCTTTCCTCTTCTATCATAAAAAATTCACACGAAGCTCCTCAGGGTAGGATTGTGCTTTTTCAAGTGTCTAGCATGATAATTGCCCATAATTGATCATCCACAAATGTTGGTTGAATAAATAAATGAAAATAATAAATGAATCAATCAAATCTGAATTCCTCAACCTTGCCTTTAAAGCCCTCCTGGCCAAGTGCAGTGACTCATACCTGTAATACTAGCACTTTGGGAGTCCAAGGCAATAAAATCACTTGAGCCCAGGAGTTCAAGGCTACAGTGAGCTATGATTGTGCCAATGCATTTCAGCCTAAGCAACAGAGCCAGACTCTGTCTCTAGAAAATAAAAATAAAAAATAACACCCTCCCCAAATATAACAATTTGTATATATTTTTATCTCTCATTCTTACTTCAGTTAGCTCTTTCTGCATACATCTATTACCTCATACCTTTGTGAATTTACTTGAATTTACTTCTGTTTCTAGTAGCCCCTGCCTGGAATAGTTCAACTGCTTTCATCCATTATTTTAAACCTATCACGTTCTTCCAAGCTTTTCTTGATGGTCACTATCTCTAGAAACTTCTTCACAATGATCTCTATAATGTCATTAACATTTTGAGCATCACGTTTAATTTGTAACAAATTAAATTATAACAAATTTATTATAACAAAGTAATTTAAGAAATTAAGATTTAATGTGCTCCCCAAATTTTATTGTTAAAATATCTATGCTACCCAAATTGCTCTACAGATTCAATGCAAACCTTGTCAAAATTCTGGTGACATTTTTTACAGAAATAGATAAAACAATCCTCAAAATTGCTTGAAACCATAAAAGACCCCAAATAGCCAAAGCAATCTTGAGCAAAAGGAACATAGCTGGCAGCATCATGATACCTGACTTCAAAATGACCTACAAAGCTACAGTAATCAAAACAGCATGGTACCGATGTAAAAAGAGACACATAGACCAATAAAACAGAATAGGAAACCCAGAAATTGATCCATGCATTATATCCAATTAATTTTTGGCAAAGTTACCAAGAATGAACAGTAGGAAAAGGATAGTCTGTTTAATAAATGATGTTGGAAAAATTGGATATCCACCTGCAAACAAATTATATTTGACCCTTATCTCACACAACATACAAAATCAACATACAAAAATCAACTCCAAGGGGATTAAAGACTTAACTGTAATGCTTGAAACTATTAAACCACTAGAAGAAAACACAGACGAAAAGCTCCAGGATATTGGTCTTAGCAATGTTTTTTTGGATATGAACCCAAATGTAGAGACAACAAAAGAAAAATAGACAAATGGGAGTATAGCAAGCTAAAAAGCTTCTGCACAGCAAAGGAAACAATCAACAGCATGAAGAGACAACCTGCAGAATAAGAGAATATATTTGCAAAGTAAACATCTGAAATGGGTTAATATCCAAAATACATAAAGAACTCAAACACTTTAATATCAAAAAAAAAAAACTTAATTTTTAAAATAGGCAGAGGCTTGAACAGGCATTTTACAAAACATATAAATGGCCAACAAGTATATTTAAAAATGCTTAATATTAATAATCTGGAAAATGCATATTAAAAACACAATGAAATATCACCTCACATCTGTTAGAAAGATTATTATCAAAAAGAAAAAAGATAGAAAGTGTTGGCGAAGATGCAGATAAAGCACCCCTGCACGCTGTTGGTGGGAATGTAAATTAGTATAGTTATGAAAAATAGTATTTATGTTCCTCAAAAAATTCAAAATAGAATTACTATATGATCTAGCAATTCCACTACTGGGTTTATATCCAAAGGAAATAGCATAACTATATGGTAGTGATACCTGCACCCTCAGGTTTACTGCAGCACTATTCACAATAGCCAATATATGGAATCAACCCAAGTGTCCAGCAAAGGATGACTAGATAAAGAAAATATGGTATATATACACAATGCAATAACATATGGCCTTAAGAAAAGAAGAAATTCTTGTCACTTGAGATGACTTGGATGAACCTGGAGGACATTATGTTAAATGAAATTAGTCAAGCACAGAAAGACAAAGAACACATGATCTCACTTATATGCAGAATCTTAAAAAGTTGAACTCATAGAAGGTAGGGAATAGAATTGTGGTTACCAGGCCTGTGGGAAGAGAGTAAGGTTAGAGGACATGTTGGCCAAAGGATGCAAAATTTCAGTTAGATAGGAGAAATAAGTTCAAGAAATCTATTACAGACATAATGACTATCATTAGTAACAATGTATTGTATTTTTTTAAATTGCTAAGGGAATAGCTTCTGTGTTCTCACCACAAAAATAAAATGATGTTGTGAGGTAATATATGTGTTAATTAACTCAATTTAGCTATTCCATAAGGTACACATATTTTTAAATAACATCGTATACAATAAAAATATGCAATCTTTGTTTCTCAAGCCTAAAAATAGGCAAATAAATGAAGTTAAATTAAATTAAACACAAAGATTGTATAGTGCTTCCAGTTTGCCTTTAGAAAACCTATGTGTCCTAGAAAAGACAGAAAGTAGAAAAGGGATAGGTCTAACTTGTAAAGGGAAAAAAATAGGGAAATGGAAGTTTTAATATGCCAAAAAATAATACTTATAACTAATACTGATTGAGCCCTTCCTATAGGTCAGACACTAAGCATTTAAATTATATTAATTTATTTACTGCCTATGATAGGGTATTGCTATTATTTTTATGTTTCAAATGAGAGAAGTGAGCCACAGCTAGAGAAAGGTAGAAACAAGGCAGTCTCACATTCTCTTTCATTCTTATTTCAAGTTGTTCATTGGCTACATTTTCTAAGGGAAATGAAAGACTTAAGGCAGAGCAGAAAGAATAAAGAATACACAAACATGCACACACAAAAAGCAATCCTTGGTTGTAATCCTGAAAATCTCAGTCAATAATTTATTCTCTTGGACTTCAACTTTCTCACTTATAAAATGAGCTAAAGTACTGACTTGGTAAAGATTCAATAAGGTAGTACACTGAATATGTTACGTAACTGTGAAGAACTAGAGAAATACATGGCATCATAATTCTACTCGTGTAGATACATATACAGTGTCGTCATGAAATAATCGAAAGAGAATTATTATGAGAGTTATTTGTAAAGTTTAAACATCCTCTGTAAACCATAGATGAGAGCATCATTAAAGAAAATGTAGGATTAATGCTTTTTAAATAAAACAGTGGCATCCTAGGGGGGTTCTGTTACTTTAAAAAGTACCTCATTCATTCTTCATAACATAGCTTTGAACTGGAGATTCTGAATAAATTCTCTAAGAGTACATATTGTTTGAGAAGGGAAACAAAGTAAAATGTCTTTGCAAAATAAAACATGTCTTCTCTAATAAATAGCGCCAGGAATATATTATCTTTCTGAAGCTTTATCGGCATAGCATGAATATAAATATTTAAGGAAAACAAAGACTTGTAAAGCACCACGGGATACATTTAGTGATTAAATAAGTGACACCAGAGTTATCCTTGTTATTTCTAAAAATTAAATCTTTGAAATTTCTATAAGGTCTACATGTTCGTAGATAACTGTTAAGAAGATACAGGCAGTTCTGTTTGTATTCCCTTCTCTACAACAGATGCATTATTAGTGGACTTTCTTAAAGAATCATTAGAGACAACACTCAATATTAAGATAATTTTTTTCAATATTTTGCTTCAGTTTAATACCAGTGAATTTAAATAGATATAAGACTAGTAGATTCTATTATCAGTTAAAAAAATGTATTGTACTTTCCTATCTCAAGTAAAATATAAATTATTGGCTATTTTCTAATATCAGAGCACATTATTTTAATCTACTTGAGTACAATTTGATATGGATAATTTTATTAACTCTGAGAAGAATTTAGAAATGAGAGAGATAAAGGATGAATAAACATTTAAATAAATATGACAAGTATATCAAAATATGTGTTCTTACCATTTCACAAGTTGGCATAACAAGGTTTTCACAGTTACATTCTAAAAGGCAAAAATCAACATATTTACATTGCTCAAAATAATCAACTTATTATAATAAAACCTTAAAATATGAAAATTAGTTACCACAATGCCATGTTGGGCAACATTGACCAGATACATTTTCTTTCACAAGATTCATATCTTCTGCACAGCTGAGTAATGGCATAGGACAAAGGTTTGGCTCACATACTAAAAAGAAAAATTACGTGGGTAAAGATAAATTTTATAGAATTGCCATTTCTCATTACCTACCATTTAGTTCACTGCCATTAATGCATGGATTAAGATTTCCCAAGTGCTACCTCTCCCACCACCAGATTGCCATGTGTTGGTGAAGATAAAATAATTGACACATAAACAGGTACAAAAAGAGTACTGGTGCTAGGATAGCTCATCAAGTGAAAAACTTTGAAAATTGGTCTGATGTAACAGTCAACTAAGATGCACTGGGCTTCTTAAACATTGGACACATGGAAATATTTTTAAATAGTTAATATACACTTACCACAGTAATACTGAGGACAACAGAAGTGTGTGCTATTAAGATCTACTGTAAGAAATTCCCCATCATTACATATTGGAACAGGTTCAGTGCAAGATTCACAAACTAAGGTGAAACAAAAAGCCAACAGTCAAAGCTGAGCTAAAACTGATGAATTATAATATGACTTTAAATTATCACACACAAATCAAATCAATTTTGTTTAAGAAAATAGTAAAAGAAAAATAAGGTGTATCTCCTTATTTGCTCACAAAAATGATAATACTACCTGAGTATATTGCACTATGCTTTCCAAGCACAGTGACATATGGAACACCATTTTACCAGAAAGATAGAACATTCAGATTTCCTAGGTAATTTGTTCTTATTATGATCAAAATTTTATTTATTTATTTATGTTTCCTTAATTCACTCTCATTGATTAATTGCATTTAGGGATGAAAATGTAGTAGGCATTTTTTCTTTTGGGCTGTTTCAACATGCCATTTCAAATTTGATAATTATTCTCTGAATGATCTTGAAGAAATGCACCACCCACATGGTTTTGGAGTGACTATCTTTAAAGATACCTCACATCATGAGGCCACTCTGTAGAAACATAGCAGTAATCAGAATCCCTTTGGATGGAATTTGAGTCATATATCGAGACACATCAACTGAAGAAAAAAAATGAAGTTGGCTCAATCATTAGTGACCTCTACCTAGAGCAGCTGATTTCTCTCCTTCCTGGGGCTTGACTGTTCTGCTTCATTTTGATCCTACTTCCCCAGATTCTTCCAATAATGGGTTGTGCTAAAGCTAGCCAGAATCAATCAGTTTTGCCACATGCAGTCAATGAATCTTAACTGATACAAAGAAAGTGTTTTGATTACTTGAGAAACCTATATTAATTACCAAGCAATCTTTGATATAATAATTCATTTGAAAAAAAATTAGAGAATTCTTTCTATTTCAATGTTCAGCTCACCAGGCAGAATATTTAGCTCCAGTCATTTTCCAGACACTGTTTCTACTATTCTTTTTTGAGGTCATGATAGCTCATACAATATAAACAGAACATAAAAGTTTTAAAGATGTCCTATAAAGTCTTAGCAGAGCCCATTATTCAAGTTGGTTCTTCAAGGAAAGCCAGTGCTAAATTTTTCTTTAAAAAAATTAGGTATTGGCCTTATTATGAAAAAAAGCTTGATTCAAATATCTTGGTTATATATGGACTGATATAGTTTTTGTTGATGGGGAAGGTATTTATCACAATTGTCTAGTCATTTAAAATGTCATACTTTCTTTATGACAGTTCTCATTCAGTTGAATTTCTATAACATAAGAATATTGGTTACCATCAGTCCCATAAAATTCACGGTAAAGAACAGATTTTTCCCTAGATCTTTTCTCATCTTCCAAGAAATTATCTCTAGAATACTCACCACAAAGAGGGGAAAAACAACAAGGTTCTTCCTGTTGAACTTGAATCATGAATTGGTCTTCTGTGCATTCTGGTGTTGATATACTGGGGCATTTCAATGGGTCACATTCTGCAGAAACACAATGATATTACAAAAGTTGTATAGCCTGAGATGATAAAATAATCACATTGTGTTTACTCCTCCTTGAATTTAGTAACAAATAACTTATCTTAAGGTTATTAATCATACATATATATATATACATATATACGGTATGTACCAGGTTTAAAAAATTAGCGAGACAGCTCCACAATCTTTTATAATAAATCATTGTCTTGGAGACACAAAGAATGAGAATCTAATTCACTGTTCCAAATAAACAGTGAACCTTGTTCTTAATTTTCTATATTGATTACTTACCACATTTGTACTGTGGACAGCAAGAAAGAGGACTATGGCCAACAATCAATTTTTGACTATTTGTACATGTTGGGATGGTAGTTTCACACAAAGTCATGTCACATCCTATAAATAAGAAAAACTGTTAAAATATTAGCGAACACAACTAAAATCTGCCCACTCAAAACAGAGAAATGACTGCCAACTCAGAGCAGGGAACTCAAAGCAGAGATACGACTCTCATTCTGCATGTTTTTACACTGCAGTTAACCCATTCAGCTAACAAAATGGACCAGATGTGAAAATGCAGCAGCTTTGATGTTTTTCAATTATTATCTTTCACCCTTGACTCATAAATCAACAATTTCAAGATCTTTTCTCTTCTCATGTTTTGTTGAGCGTTAACTGTGAATAGCCAGTTTTTCAGTTTATTCAACAAAACTGTAATGAAACAAAACTTACATTGAGAAAATGACATTGATGGCACATTTTAAAAATACAAATCATTATATATGCTCTGCTTTTTCACAAAGAACATCAACATATTTTGTGGAATTAATTGACTATAAGGTTTCTGCATACATACCACAAACTCCCTTTGAACAGCAGGTCCATTTATCAATGATGCCCATGACAACTTCAGCTTCTCGTTCACAAACTGGAGTGGGCTCTTCGTCACAGTCAGGTTCTATAGGAATAATGCTTCCATTCTCCAAACATTTGTATAGAGCACATTCATCAATGCCCCCATTCCAAATCTCCCCAGCAGTGTGGGGCTGGTCTTCACTATCAGTGCATGCTTTAAAAAGATCAACAGTATTATAACACTCATAACCTGGCACTAAAATAAATCATGCCACCATGTTTTGATTTCAGACTGTGACATGACCCAGCAACATAGATGATGTGTCACAGTCTATTGTTTTTCTCAGGTTTCTCTTTCATCATCCACTAACTTATATTTTTCTTTAATGAAAGTTTATACTTAGTCCACAGAAAATATTTTTTTTCTCCTGGCTGGATCCAGTGGCTCATGCCTATAGTCCCAGAACTTTGGGAGGCTAAGGAGGGAGGAATGTTTCAGGCCAGGAGTTTGAGACCAGCCCAGGCAACATAGAAAGACCTTGTTTCTACCAAAAAGAAAAATAATTAAGCCAAGTGTAGAGGCATGCTTGTAGTACCAGCTACTCAGGAAGCTAAGGCCAGAGATCACTGGAGACCAGGAGTTTGAGGTGTCAGTGAGCTATGACCACTTACTCAACCCTGTGCAAGAGTAGACCCTGGAGAGAGAGAGAGAGGGAGAGAGAGAGAGAGAGAAAGAAAGAAAAGAATTTTTTTCTTTTTACAACCACCTGTAAATTTGTATATCTTCTATAAGTAAAATGATCTATTATTTTTGATACATTTTAAGTCCTGTTAATATAATTTATTTAGCCCAATGAAATTCAATAATATAAATTTAAATTAATTTGAAAATAGTAACTGTTAAAAATGAGTGGGATTAGAAAACAAGGTAGTCCCTATCTCCTATAATATTTATATCATATGAAAATTCAAAATATTTCTGCTTTAAAATCTAAAAGTAGAAAGTAGAAAATCAAGAAAAATATTATTTAGTGACTATTATTTTTATGTAAAAGTTTTATTTGATGATAACTACGACCACCTAGTAGTTCTTTTAAGGAATAATAATGATGAATGTTAATGATCATATCCCCCCAAATCATAAATGATCAACCATATCCCCAGCCTCCAGTGAGCTCTTATCCTATTTACTATAAAACTAAATCTCATAGATCTCTAAAGAACAAATATAAGCACACCTATATATCCTCAGAATCTTCCACAGATACTTTCTATACTGGCAAACACAAGCTTATTTCTAAAACTATATATGCATTTCACTTCTCCTTGCCTTTTTCTTTAATTATTAGTCAATTCATTTTCTTTTGACCATAATAAAGAGGCCTATGACTCACAAGTCCTGTGCTGCAATTGTCTCAGTTTTGCACTTTATCATCTGCCACCACCATGGAGACAATGACCAAAATAAAATTGTTTGAAAATAAAATTAGAAATACCAAATAAGTTCCCCCAGTGTCTTAGTCCATTTTGTGTTGCTCTAAGAAAATACCTGATAGTGAGTAATTTATAAAGAAAAGTGATTCACTTAGTCACACTTCTGCTGGCTGGGAAGTTCAAGGGCATGGCACTAGCATTGACTTAGCTTCTGGTGAGGGCTTTTCTCCTGCCTTGTATTTCTCCATTTCTCAAAGGAGAAGTGGACAGATGTGAAGAGGGGTCAGACTTGAGGAGGAAACTCCCTTTATGACATTCTGCACTTGAGGGAAAGATTCCTTTCTGCTAGAACTAATCCAGTCACACAAGAGCAATAACTCACTCACAAACTTGAGAAGGAATTAATCTATTGATGAGGGCAGTGCCTCCATGACCCACACACCTCCCAGCACTGCCACACAAGGGGTTCAAGCCTCAGCATGAGTTTTGGTGGGAACAAACCACATCCCATCATAACACCCAGAGAATAATACCATCTGCCATTTCTTACATGCTTACATTCTCAAGGCACCGTGTTAAATGCAAAATGCTTTTTACTAAATTATGTAACCCCACACTAACCTTATGAGATAAGTATTATTATTTTCCTCACTTTCCAGATGCATGACCTGAGACTCATAGGAGTAAAAGTAAACCACTAATACATGAAATAACTTGAATTTGAGTTCAATCCATAATCTACTCTTAATTCTTGATTCACCATGCTCTTTCCCAGTTATTATAGGCATAGGTAAAGATTAAAACACATTACCACTGACACTTTCATAACAATTAACTTCTTTTGAAATCATATGAAAATCAAACAAACAAATTCATTTCCTTTCCAACACTTAGGCTGTCATTGATAAATCTTTGTTAGCACATCTCTCCAATGTCTCAAAATTGTTTTTGTTTGTTTGCCAGATCCCTAAGAAGTCACTTTGTACTCTGCGTCTTACCACACTCTTTCTCTGGAATGCACTGGGTTGATTGCGGCCTGTGAAGAATAGTTCCATCTTTGCACACACAGTCTTCTCTTAAATTCAAACAGGAAGAGTGGCCATAGAACCATTGGTTCAGGCATGTTCTTGCTTCACAAGGTCTCACACAGGGTTGATATTCCTTCCCCTCTGGACAACTCAGGGCTTTGAAGAATAGGGAACAAAATTTGCTAATGGTAAAAGTAACCTATTTAAATTTCCTAACAGAAAAAAGTGTCAAATTTCTTTTAGAAAATAAATTTTGCAAATTTTAGTCTCTTCAAATTCCATTTTTCATTTACTTTGTAACCATAAATCAGAAATAAAGGCATCGATGTATTTGCTTTTGGCATATTTTTGCAATTTTTAAGCATCTCTAGTGGTCTACTGGTATTAGCTGTTATGGCAGGAAACACTTATCAGATGTACCACAGATAAATATGACCAACAGGCAGCCCAAGTCTGGCTGGAATAAACATACAATCAATTATTATGAAATTGTTGCTCTGGGCAGTGAGAAGAAATAACAACAGTTTACTCAGAATTAAAACTGAAATTCATTTTCAGTATATAACTCAACCAAATCATAAAAAATAAAAATGCCGTATGTTTAGGTTAGATCCTTCATTGTCAAAAGAAATTACTATTGCTGAGCAGTTTATAAATGATGTTTTAGAAAATCCTTATGGATTGTCAATGATTGTAAAAAGTCATACTATTAAAAACTGAATTCTCAGCTGGTGGGATTATAAATTGGTACAATCTCAGTGGAGAACAATTTGACAGCGTCTAGTGAAATTGGAAATGACATGCATTCCCAGTGAATCAGCAATGCCCCTCCTGACAGGTGATTACCTCTCAGGGAAAAAAGACAGGAAAGGGCTGGAGAAGGCACACAGGGAGCTTCATGTGTGAGTGTTTTATTTCTGAAATTGAATGATGTAACTTGTATTTGTGATATATTAGCTTCTTCTTTGCATTTTATACTTACTAAATTAATTCATGATAAAAAATAAAAAGGAAGGAAAGAAGTGACTGCAAACATTAAATGTATTTATGATTGAAAAATATTATACAGTTAATGGTTACTTACAGCAGTAATCAGGTGTTCGCCACTGAATACAGATATCAAACTTGTTGCACAGAGCCACATATGCAGAAAGTGCATCACATTCATAGTTCCAAAAATAGGTATAATTGATCCACATCTTTTCACAAAAGTCTTTTGGTGAGACCTAGAGAAACATTTTGCCTTGAAATGAGTCATGGAGTTTTATTTCTCTGAAAGCCCTAAACTAGACTATGACTATTTGGAAACTCAAAGAGTAGCAAGTTAATATTCATTATACTTCATCATAGACTTTACATTTTCAAAAATTCTTAAAATTAAAAGTCACTCTAAACACCTTTAAGTAAGATAAATATCATCTGCACTAATCTACATAAATCTTTCTTATAAAAATGGAAAAAAAAACAGAGTATGTGGACCCAAGCAGAAATTTATTTCTAATATCCACTGTGGACTACAATTGACTTTTCTATATGCTGAATAAGAGTTTGAAAAATTATAGATTAAATTGGAAGCTCCCAAAGCATTCTATAATGGTATACAGCATTGCTTATTAAATCAAGTTATAAATGCTTCTCAAAACTTGTGTTAATATTTAATGTTAGCTACATAATTTGTAAAATTTGGCACACCTCAATTTAATTAGAGACTCGGTTTTTTTTCCTATAGCATATGTTCCATTTTGATCCAGAGACACATGAAATATAAATAATGTAGCTTGTGACAATATTTATTCCATTTTTCTCTTATTATCAACTCATTATTCAGTAGGCACATATTAAGTATCTAAATTTAGATGCCAAATTCTGATACAGGCCAAAGCATCCATTAAAATACTTAGCATTTTTCATAACCCATCTTCTTTTCCCAGGATCTGTATCTATAAAAACCAATGGCATGAAAACAGACATATAGACCAATGGGACATAACAGAGACCCAGAAATAAATCCACATATTTACAGGCAGCCAACTGATTTTTGACAAAGGTGCCAAGAGCACACAATGGGGAAAGAAAGTCTCTCCAATAAATAGTGCTGGGAAAACCGGATATCCACTTCCAATTGAATGCCATTAGATCCTCAACTCACATAATATCCAAAAAATCCACTTAAAAGAGACATAAGACTTAACTGTAAGACCTAAAACTACAAAACCACTAGAAGAAAACAAAGGACAAGCTCTAGGACACTGGTCTGAGCAATAATTTTCTTCATATGAACTCCAAAGTACTAACAACAAAAGCAAAAATAGACACATGGGATTGCATCAAACTAAAAGTTTCTGCACAGCAAAGCACACAATAAACACAGTAAAGACATGACCTATAGAATGGAAGAAAATATTTGCAAACTATGCATCTAATAATGGGTTAATATCCAAAATATATAAGGAATTCAAACAACTCAACAACAAGAAAACCAACAACCCAATTTAAAAATGGTCAAAGGACCTGCATAGATATTTCTCAAAAAAATGTACAAATGTCCAACAAGTACATGAAAAAATGTTTATTATCATTCATCATCAGAAAAATACAACTTAAAACAACAATGAGATATTAGCTCACACTTGTTTAGAATGGCTAGTATCATAAAGAAGGTAAATGATTCCCTCTTCTCCACTACTTCTGGCACTGGCCATCCCTGGTTTGAGCTCTCCAGTTCCAGGGGTTGTTGTCATTTAAGCGAATAAGACTTCATGACATAAAATCATGAGAATGCAAGAGGAGTGTGTGCTTTTAAGAGGGTGTAAATTTTCCAGTGAACATACTTTATTTCTAGGCATAAATATGTGTTTGCTTAAATATCTACATGGTTCATGTAACAAGACCATTATTCTTGCTCAGCAAACATGGAATTTGTTTTCATTGAACCAGATTTGTATTCAAACATTTTATCATAAACCGGCAGAACTACCAAGGCATGCATATTTGTAATATTAACCAGAAATTTCTTCTTGCTATACAAAGTCACAAAACGGCTTTATAAGGCATGATCCACTTGGTATGTGATGAAGAGCATTTCACAGTTTGCTGTTACAGAATGCACATGCCTACAAATGTGTAATGACCCAATTGAAAACACAAGGTCAGAGTCAGGTTGTCTAAAAGAAAAAAAAGCTTATATGAGACATCTTGGTCAGCAAATATCACTCAATGTGCTTTAAAGCCTCTTAGAACAGACTCTTGGTACTTCAGTGATTCTTCACTGAATTTGTTAATGCTTTTATTTTCAAAATGAAATCATAGAGCTTTACTTTACAGTAGGATTCACTCAATTCTCAAGGATCACACTGACTTAAAAGAATAAAATCATTCCTTTAGATAAATATGTAAAAAAAAAAAAGACAAAAAATATCTTTGAAGAAAATGTAGAAAAAAGGTAACCCTTGCACAGTGTTAGTGGGAATGTAAATTAGTACAGCCACTGTGGAAAACAATATGGAGGTTTCTCAAAAAATTAAAGATAGTACTATCATATAATTGAGCTACCCTACTACTAGGTACATATCCAAGAAAATGGAATCAGTATGTCACGGAGATGTCTGCACATTCATGTTTACTGTAGCATTATTTGCAATAGCCAAAATATAAAATCAACCTACAGATCTGACAATGGATGAATGAAGAGAGAAAATTTGGTAAACATGCACAGTGGAATATTATTTATCCTTTAAAAAGAATGAAATCCTGTCATTTGTGGCAACATGAACGAACCCAAATAACATGATGTTAAGTGAAATAAGCAAGGCACAGGAAGACAAATATCACATGATCTCACTCAAATGTGAAAACTAAAAAAATTGATCTATGGAATCAACCAGTTGATCAATCAATCAACTAGGGGCTGAAGTGGTTGGGAAGATGTTGTTAAAGTGCACAGAATTTCAGCTAGATGGGCAGAAGTCCAAGAGATCTATTGTACAACATGGTGACCATAATTAATAACATATTATCGAAAAATGCTGAGTGGATGTAAAGTGTTATCACCACACAATTGATAATTACATGAGGTAATGCATTTGTTAATTAGCTAGATTTCATCATTCTACAATGTATATACACTTCAAAACATCATGTTGTACACAGTTAACACACACTTTTATCTGTAAATATAAAAATAAAATTACATGTTTTTAAAGATGGAGAAAACCCCTAAGATTCAACTTTCTTTTTAGTGTTCTTTGTGAAATCTTCTCAGTTTCCAACCACCTTACTTTGCACAGAATACTTGCTTTAGTCATTAATAGCCTCCTTTTAATCAAATGCAATGAAACTGATATTCTAAATCCTCCCTGACCTCTCAGAAGCCTATATTGCCATTAGGATGTCCGCTTGCTTAAAATGTTGTCTCCTTTAACTTCAAAGGTACCATACTCTGTGGCCTTTCCATCTATTTGATCACTGTCTCTTCTACTTGCCTCTCATTCTGTTTTACTATAGCCTATCCTCAATGGTAATGTTCTCTCACTGAAAATGCTCTCCCCAAGCTCATCTGTTTCCATGGTTTCTACCACCTGTTGCGAAATTTAAACTTTTTGTCTTGGTTTCTTCATGTGTGAAATAGAATTAATAGTAACAACCACTACTACCTAAGATTACTGTGAAAATTAAATAAGCTACTATATGAAAAATATACAGGAACAAACCCTGGCACATCATAAATTATCATTATTTTTTAAAAAATCCATATACTAATGGCTCTTCAAACCTGATATCTGACCTCAACTTATCTCCTCTGAGCTCCCAAATTATGCCCCAGAGTTTCTGCTGGATGTTTCTACTTTGATGATGCACACGACTTAATCTGCCCAAAATAAAAAATTGTGTCCCTTCTCTACTTAGCCCACAGAAGCTGATTCCTCTGTATTCTCTACTTACCTATTAATTGATGCACATTTTTATCATTTATTGAGTACCTAACTACATATCAGGCACTGTGCTATGCATAAGAATAAAGGTAAATAAAACAGACCTGTTCTTTGCTTATGGATCTCAACAACAACAAAAACAAAGCCTTTGAGTAAGGTGAAGAGAAGCCACCATGCTAAAATGGATTCAAGGAAAGAAGTATTCCAGCAGGGGAAACAGCAAGCAGAATAGCCTTTTGGCAGAAAAAAAGTCCTGGAATAATATTAAGAGAGCTGAGAGGAGGCAAAAATGGTTGGAGCTTAGCAAACAAGAAGAGCTTAGCACAAGATGTGGCTGGAAAAGTACGTGGGCCACATCATAGATGACACTGTAGGCCCTGGTAAGAACTTTGGGATGTACTCTAAGTGAAAGACATTGAAGGATTTTAGGTAGAGAAATCATACAATTCTGTTTAAAATTTTAAGAGATCATTCTGCTTGCTTTGTAGAGATTTGCAAATGAGGATGAAACTCAGTGGTAGAAAAATCGAATTATAGGTCTTTGTCACTGGACCAGGCAAGAGATGATAGGGGTCTAGATTCAAATGGTGGTGGGAAGAAATGCATGGATATTGAAATATTTTGGGAGTGGATCCCATAAGACTTGGTGATAGCTTGGATGGCACAGATTGGGACTCAAGAAGGCATGAAGAATTTCTTTATCTTGATATGTTACTCTGTTTAAGCTAGAAAGTTGAAGTCATCTATAAATGCTCACCCTCCCTTAGCACTAACATCTAATTGGTCCTTAAATCCTCCCCATTCCATGTCCCAAATGTCTCCCAAATGCCATCTTTCCTTTTTGAACATGCAGCTATCCTCACTTGCTTCTCCCTGACCAGCAGAGTCCATCATCATTTTCCCAAAGTAGATTTGCTTTAAAATAATTCAACAGGAGCGGGGTGTGGACAAGAGAAGTGAGGAAGATAGGCAGAAAAAAGATAGGCAATTTTTTTAATGATTTTTTAAAATCTGGGTGACAGACACCTAAAGATTCTTATATTGTTCCCACCACTTCTGTGGATGTGTAAATATTACCACAATAAAAGGTTACAATAAGCAAATAAAAACTACTCAAAGACCTTTTAATTCGCTACCTTGCTATACCTGTCTAGCCCATCTTCTTCAGGCCTTCATACAAATCTATTGAGCAAATTGTCATGACCCTCCCATTCTTTTAGTTCTTAACTTTCTTTTTTTTTTTTTTTTCTTGCAATAGGACTTTAATGAAAGTAACTCTTAGAAGCAGAAGGTAGAGAAAGGGAAACTTTATCTCAAGGTTGATTAGAGTTCGGCCCAAAGAAGTCTCTATAAACTCAAAATTTCTTTGAAGTATCTTTTTTGCTTTTTTTTTTTTTTGAGATGGAGTTGAAGTATCTTTTTTGAAGTCATGCAAGTTTTACATTCCAGTGCTTAATAGTCTGTGTCTTTTAAATAAAAATAATGTCTTAAGGCTGAGACTTTGAGAGAAAAAGAAAAGAAATACACCCTGCCTATCTCATGGATTAATGGACACTTTGGTATTACATTCGATCCCTAAATATTCACTTAAGAAATCTGCAGTGAATCGAGATCTGATGCCAAATATCGAGTTCAACATGATGTTAGTACTGTGTCTTCTCTACCTCGGTTTCACAATATCCAAGAACTATGTGAGTCCAAAGAAAATGCATTTCCCACTATTGTATGCACTGTGCCAGAGTTATCACTGAATCATGACGACCAGAATGCAGCTAAAGATGTTGTCTGAAGACACAGGCTACTGTATATAGAATCCTCATAAGCTTTGTAAGAGTCAAGTTTCTCAAGAAAACACATCTAGAGGCTTTGAGTACCTGAGAGTCTGAAAGTGCTAGTAGTTCCCAGAGTCGATTATTTTTATCTTATTCTCAAATTTCTTCTATAGCATTTTAACTTGGTCACACTTGAAAGAAAATCCGCTAAATAAGCCAAGTTTGTAAGCTCTTCTTTATACCATTACAGTTAAAATAATCCATTTACATTATTTAGATTTTACTTTTTATTTTTTCTTTCCATGACGAAAAATTACATTTTCAACTCTGACTGTAAAAATATTATAGCCATGGTCTGGTGTAGCAGTTCATACGTGTAATCCCAACACTTGGGAGGTCAAGGCAGGTGGATCACTTGAGGTCAGGAGTTTGAGACCAGCATGGCCAATGTGGTGAAACCCCATTTCTACTAAAAATTCAAAAAATTATCCAGGCTTGGTGGCATGTGCCTATAATCCTAGATACTGAAGAGGCTGAGGCAGAAGAGTCACTTGAATCAGAAAGATGGAGGCTGCAGTGAGCTGAGATCACGCCACTGCCCTCCAGCCTGGACAATAGAGCAAGACTCCTCAAAAAAAAATTTTTTTAATTTTATATATGTATAAAATTATATTTGCTATATATATAGCCAATACCTTCTTTAGTTATATTAATTTATATCTCTGAAGCAGATAAAATGGCAAATTAACTTTCTTTTGTTGAAAAAGATATTCAAACTATAACACTTAAAAAAATTATAAAAACTTATCCCATCATCTTTGAATAGCCTAAGAAAATATAAAAGCAAGATGTTCCTTGTGAAGAGGGTGTTGGATTTAATGAGGATCTTGATGGACAAGCCTGACCTTCCAAATGATTCTTAAACTAGTTCTGAAGTTTTGAGCCAAGATTACTTGTTATTTATAAAATAAACAATCAAGCAATATATTCTAGTAATTGTCCTTAAATTCTACTATTGGTTTTTAGATGTTACCTTAGGAATAGTTTCATAGTTGTTGATTTTGATTTTCCAGCATAATACACTACATAAGTTGGTGCTCCTTTATATTTCTACAATAAACAAAATCCACTCTTTAAGTAAGCATTAAGGTATCTATTATAATTGTTAGATTAGCCACATATGCTAGTGTCCTCATGTATATTTGGATTTTAAAATTTTTTGCTGTCAAATTTACTGGAGGATTTTGTTTTGTTTTGTTTTTGAGATGGAGTTTTGCTCTTGTTGCCCAGTCTGGAGTGCAATGACATGATCTCAGCTCACTGCAGCCTTCACCTCCCAGATTCAAGGGATTCTCCAACCCCAGTCTCCCAAATAGCTAGGATAATAGATGTGTGCCGCCACACCTAGCTAATTGTTACATACTAAAGGATTTTAAAGGAAAAGTAGAAGCTATCACAGATTAAAGGTATCCTATGTTGCTTCATTACGCTTTGAATAGTCAAGCTGAAAGTTTCCTGATATAATCAACCTTTCAAGTTCCCAGTTAAAAATGCAATTTTAAAAAATCATGATGCTTTAAAAAAACAGAATAAAGTGGCACTGAAATGAGTTTTAAAGTATCTGCTATTTCTTCATGTTTATGTGTATGCATTTTTTAAATGTAAACATTTAAAACTTATTTTCATCCAAATCTCCATGTGAAACTGAAACTCCATAAAGATATGCCATTTTTATCCCATGACTTCATACTTTTGTTTTTTCCCTCAGAGAATGCACAGGGCAGCATCAAAGGTTATTCACAGTGAGCTCCTCCCTGACTTGACGATTCCCTTGCTTCCCTTCCCAGACTTTTCTCTTCATAGATATTGTACCAAACTCTTTCAATATTTTCCTCACATAACCTTTAAACCAAACTTTCTCTTGCATATACAGTCAGCCCTCCTTACCCAGGGGTTCCACATCCATAGATTCAATCAACCATGGATGAAAATTACTCAGAAAAACCAATGTGAGAATGATCTGGCTGCAACATGTCACCCTATTGACTGCCAGGGTTGATTCAGCTGATCTGGCTGGCTAGGCAAGTGTCCCATTACTCCCTCACCATTCCAAATGCATCCCTCCCAAAGATGTGCATTCGGTTGTAGAGGATGACCATTCCTGATAGAGGACTGGTCTTCGGCCAAGGGTATACAAGTAGATGTACTCCCCTGCTAGAACCTCCAAAAAAGCTCTCAAAAATATTCAAAAAAAGAAATAAAAAGTAATACAAGAATCAAAATAATAAAAATGCAAAAACCAATACAGTGTAAAAACTATGCACATAGCATTTATATTAGGTATTATAAGTAATCTAGAGATGACTTAACATATATGGGAAAATTGTGTAGGTTATATGCAAATACTATACTATATTTTATAAACGGACTTGGGTGTCCAAGGATTTTGGTATCTGTGGGAGGTTGATTCCACAACCCCCACAGATAATGAAGGACCGTTGCATTGATATCTCTGCCTGGAACTCCATCTCTCCCTCTTCTTTCCTGGCAAACTCATACTTCTAAATAATTCAAAGAGCTAAAACTCCATGAAGGCTTCTCCAAACCTGTGCTCCTATGTACCTCCATAATGTATATTTTAATGTATCTGCTCACAGACTTGCCTTCCTACTAGGCTCCTTGAGGGCAAGGAAAGCATCCTATTCATTTTCTGTCAAAGGAATCTAACACAGTGATTTTATGTGCTAGATGATCACTAACTTTTAGTTAAATGATCCATGAAATACTGTATTTGTCCTTTGTCTTTAGTAATGGATTTTTTTAACAATATAGATTATTTAAAATTCCTACCTATCACTTAAACTCAGAAAGTTGGAGACTAATAAAGATGAAGTAAATTGAGTAAGTGACAGATTCTATTTCAAGTATATGCCTAAAAAGCCAGGATCATAGGAACCGATTAAAGCCTCACTATCTTGGTTTTGATACTGTTATCAAATGTCATTGATCTCTGTCTCCTAGAGACATTTTTCCATAGGACAAAATTTCATTTTTTTGAAAGCTGTAGATATAATTCTAACAAAACATAAAGAAAAGAAATAAAATTAGCCTTCTTGTGTTTGTAAGCCTGTAAACAACAAATGATTCTGAATTCCAAAACATACTGACAGAAGCTTGGGGGACAAATGATTCTGAATTCCAAAACATACTGACAGAAGCTTGGGGGTTTTGTTCTTAGTACAAGAACATCATAGCAAGAACAGTAATGTCATTGGCCTTTACTCTCAAGATACATAACATGAAAGTATTATTTATGGTTGCTTCCAACTTACTTTATCATGACATGGAATGAAAATTCTTCTATTTAATAACTCAATGCAGTGGCTGCAATCATGCTCCGTACAATTCCTCACAGGTCTTCTCATTGTTACTTCAAATGATTTCTCAATTTCCCAGCTCTCAATAAATAATCCTATGTCTTCCATATTTGTAATAATTGTGCCATTTTGCATCCTTAGATCATCATCTGGATCTTCATTGCAAATTCCTTGAAAGAACATGTGACAGAAGGGAAAAACTTCACTTAAACCAGTGTAGACAGCACAACAAAATCAGCTAAATAATTGATTTTAAAAGAATGAATGATTTACTGAATGAGATGCCAAGTTTATGTATCCTTGAACTTTTACATTGATAGAACTTTTTAAATTATTTTCTGATTTTTTAATAAAATAGTGCAGAACTGCCTTAACCCAGTAAGAAATAAATCAAAAGCCTAGAAGTCCCGATGTAGGAAGAGATCAGAGAAGATTAAGAAAGAAGATATTGATTCTGCTCCTACATTCTTTCATTGCTACTACCATATTCTAACCTAGTAACTAGTTTTTGAGCCTGACAAGGTACTTTCTACAAGAATGAACATTTGGTGATTGGCTCCCAGGCTTCTGCTTCCCCATGAAAACTCTGCCTGAAAATATTAAATATTTTTCTTTCAGGAACTATCAGTGCTCCATCATCTAGTGCATGACATCATTCCAGGTGAGGGCTCTCATTGGCATAAAGGCAATCTTTACTCCCTTGCATTAGCAACAGATCCACGTAATCCAGGTATAAACCAGAAAGCTTGTAGTAGTCACCTAGGCACATCGATTCATTCAACACTGGGACAACTATTGTCAAGTTCAGGACTTGACCTGGGAAATCTAGGACACAGGCCATTTCCCTTTCTTGGGATGACATGACCTGTTGATGGCTATAATGGTTTGACCTGCTGCAGCCTCTAACTTCCTTGAGAAAATATAAACTGAAGATGAACTTACTCATCATTAAATGTAGTGCAGAATCAAGAAAAATAATGATACCAGATCTATAATCGTACCTTACCCAAATCCCACCCTACTGTAAGACACAATTTTTCTTAATTCCCAAGACCCTGGGCTATAAAATATATGAATACAAATTTTCTTCAAACATCAAATTTTAATCCCCAAGGAGATGTATCAGGATTAATAAAGGTTGCAATGGCTCACCTTTGTAAATACACAGAGTACTACGTGCAATTAAACACTAAAAAAAAACACTCAATTGCACTACATTGTAAAATAGCTACTATTTTTTAAGGCTAAACTTTCCTGGAGAAAGGTAATTGCTAGTAAAAATATGTTTAACTGCAACTTCAGTCACCACTCCAGACTTCACAGTGCTTTGCAGAATGAGATGTCAATATAGGCCTCTCAGTGCTCAGACTCTGGATAACAGTCTTACTCACTATAAGTTCTTCAGCCAACACCTAGCCTAGTGATCCTGACAGCACCAAGATTTCCCTTTAATGAAGCATATTTCTCTCATTGCAGAGATATAGGAATTTAGGGCATGAACCCTGGTTAGCAAAAAGGTGATCCTAGCCCTCTCTCTGCAGTGTTTAGTTAAAAATCCAGTTAGCAGAGTGGCTGTCTCATAAAGCAAGAGTAATAGTAAAGAAGGATGAAAAACCATAAAAATCAAACTGAAATAATACCCTTCAAAAATGAAAGTTTTAGGTGAAAACATGAATTTCCAGTCTCAGTAATTACATAATAAGAAGTTTGAATTTAGTATACATACTCAATAATGGCTATTTCCAAATAATAACCTTAAGTCACCATAGAAATTTATGTTTAGCATACTCTAAACAAGTGAGGAACTATAAAAACCACTTAAGCAAAAATTTCCAATAAATCTTTACATTTTTATACAGGAAATTTGGATATTTTATGTAATTTGTTGAGGACAAGGACTTATTCCTTTCCGAGTTGTTAGCATTAAATATAATGTGATCCATAAACTTTTACCTATGGAAGCAGAAGGTGATCCATAAACTTTTACTCAGTTAATATTTACTGAGATTAAAAATAGATACATTTGTACTAAATCAGCATTTATTGACTGTGTATTTATGTGTTGTGTTTAAATTAACTTTCACATGTAATTCAAACTATCTTGAAAGTAGATATTACTGTCCCCTTTTAAAGATGAAGAAACTGAGATTCTCTTAAGAGCACACAGCTGTAAAAAGAATAACTCGTTTTCAACTTTCTAGCAGACAGCAGAGCCAGTATTCCTTTTATTTCATTATGTACCTACAAATATTTCTAATTTGTTTCCTTTGACTTAAGACTCTTTATATACCTGTGTAATATATTGTAATATTAAACCTACATGTAACGGTACATCTAAGCTTTACATTTCATAATAAAACTAGGACAAATATTCTGAATGTTGTGTTCTTTCAAGGTAACTTAAGTTTTCCCTGATTTCAAGCTTTAAAAAAAAATCAAGAGGAAACAAAGACATGTAAGCCTTTCAAGTTTCTATGCCTCATTTGTATCACTTATAAATTGAGATAACACTAGTATCTACTTACTAGATATTAAAATTAAGTGAGTTAAAATATGTAAAATAATGCCTGATGCTTCATTAATGCCTAATAAAGATGAGCTAGTGGAAATACAAACAGCATTGTAATAACAGCAGTAAGCATATATTTTCATAAAATACCCAAATTGAAGTGTTATTTCCTGCATCTTAGCACATTTATAGAAAATTCATTGCTTCCTTCAGTGTTTACATAGGAACTAAAAGTTAATATCATTATCTCAAATATGAAAAATGGGGCAACAGGGTCCAAAATGTCCAAAAATGGGGCAACAGGGTCTATAGTGTGAGTAGAAAACAAAAATAGACAAAACCAAGATTTGAAGGGCAGCACTCACCACACAGTCCTTCTGTGTAGGATGACAAGTTAAATTGGGAGCTAAAATGAATGTCTATGATTCCTGTAAGATGTGACCACTTTATGATTAGTCCAGCTGGAGTAGTAATTACATACATTGAACCAGAATCCTCTATGGACAGTTCCTGATTTGAAAAGGGCAAAGGCACAACAATGGAATCCACTTCCACCTAGAATGTAGGCAGTCCAAGGATTACACTTTGAAAAACAGTGCTTTAAATAATGGCAATGACATGAAACCATGAGCTTTAACTAGCAGCAAATTTCTTGAAGTTATGCCTTACCAACCATTCAATGTCTCATCTTTATATTTTGTTCACATTGCTGTCCTTGAGCTGAAACATACTTTCTTTCTCTTCCCTCTTTCTACTTATTCTTTAAGATTTGTGACCTCCTCCAATAAAGACCTGTTTTTGACCTGCCTATAAACTATAAAACATTAAATATTCTTCTCTTTATTTCTATAATATCTTGGTCATAATTCTATCACTGTACCTCCTACTGCTTTCTAATCAGCAGATAATTACATTACACAAATTATGCACAAGTACAAGTTACTTGAGATCAGGACCTATGGTGTTTATCATGTTAAACTCTCACTAAATGATTTTCAAAAATAATTCGTCATTGGCTGAATATAGTGCCTGACCAGTGAAGGACCAGTGATGAGTTCATCTGGGGCCAAAAAATAAGTCCTTCCACCCAAATGCTCCAAATAATGACATTGATCAGCTTTCTATTTATTTCTCACCCACCTGCTATAAGAATATCAACCTCATTGAACTCAAAGGTCTATGCAAATGTTATCATTCAAAAAAAGTAACTCGTTGATATATTTTGTTTTACTTAATTAAATCTTTAAAACATCTTCTGAAATTTTTTGGCTCATTTTAATGTATTATTTTCAGTCTAGAATCTAAGGACCTATGCTAACAGGTGGAATTATTTCCAGAAAGCACATAGTACCTCAGTCATTTTAAGAAAAATCTTTACACATCACATTCATATATATATATATATTAGAAAGAACAACTTTGCGTGAAGTACTCAGTTCATAACACCCTCCTGTTTGGCAAATATATAGTCCTTGGAATAAGAGGTTTGCCTGCAAAACCAAATGGCTCCTTTCAAACATTTTTATAATGTATTGCTCTTCCTTAATTTATTTCAAAAAAGTTAAATATTTTTTTTATATTTTTCTTATTTTAGCTATCATTTATTCACTGAAAAATTAGTGGTGTCAACACTTCAAATCCACTCCTTCCATCTGTTCTTCTCTTAATGGTCTTTATTCTGGTGTTGTTGGCTACTAAAATTTTCAACATTATCATCCTTCTCCTTCATATCATTTCCATTCTGTCTAATTTGAAACATGATATTAACTCTGACACAGAGAAGCCTGGCTAATCACATTAAATCCGAGGTTGCTAGCAGAGCAATCACATTAAATCAGAGGTCCATTCAGTTAACCTCAGAGGAGAAAATATTTGCAATAACTGGCACATTATTTAGAGAGAAATATAATATTAAGAAACATATTTTTATATCATCTATGAAGTGATTATTATATATAACAATCAAATTCCACTGATAATGCTTAATTTTTCCTCTTATTGGAAAAAAATGAGAAAAAAATTTAACTTTGTGTTCTTACCTTTCTTGCTAACCGATTGACAATTATTTTATGTATAGATGTTGTCATATTTAACTTTTTAAAACAAAGTGCAGAAATTCTTCCAGAGGAAGCCTTAATTTGAAAAAAAATAAAATTTCTTTGAGTTAAACATAATTGTAGTGATAAACAAAATGAAATTACTAAACATTTTGCAAATACTCACTGGCTTTTTTAATGAGTTTCCATTCTGGAAAATAAAAGAAATAATTTTAAGTGCATTATTTGACTTTTTTAAACATTATTTGAATTAATATTACATGCCTGTAAATAGATTCAGATGAAAGATTTTCAGAAATGTTTCTGAAACATTATCATAAGACCAATCTAAGTGAATTCTCAAGCTCCTTCCTCCTATAAGAATCCCTGATGTCACAACAGACATCAGCTAAGGATTTATGACAAAGTGAATACAAAAATGAATTATGACCCACCTGATTCATGGAACATTTTTCGATATGAGCAATTATAATTTCACCAGGAATTCTTACTAAGATATAAGAAGCCATGCTATATAGTGCTGCATTATTTCCATCAAATGTAATAATGCTCAGTTCTGACAACATGGAACACCGACCTAAAAAAAATGGTGGAAAGTGGATTTAGTCTATTAACTATTTCTATTTTTAGTAATAATTGCTTTTTTTAAAAAAAAAATCTGTTAAATTAGCTTTATTATGTTTGACAGGAAGCAACTCTAAAAGTCGTATACTGTGAACCAAAAGCACAGTGTATACAAAAATCAAAATATTTTGAGAAAACTCAACTTTGGATTGATGAGGTGAAAGGTTAAAAAAGTAACAGTCTCTCCAGATCAAACAAGCAAACAAACAAACAAACAAACAAAAAGATCACCATTTAGGAAATGCAAACTTACAAGGACATTCCCACTCAGGGCAGCAGATATCACTGTTCACTTGAACTGGCCTTCCTCGGAAACCACAGTCAGGCATTTCCACGTCCTTTGGGCAATTAAGAGACCAGTTGTATAACTGCCATTCCATATTAAGGCATATGTATTGGCTACAATTATAAACAGGATCAAATTGCTGAGGCTGTTAATGAAAAGAAAAAAATAGTGTTTTTTTTACATTCTCAACTAATGTTTTTAATTGATTTTTAAATTTCACATTCATATTGCCCATGGTGTACGTTTATTAAATACAAAAACTTTTGAAAAATAAAGAACTAAAATTTCACTACAACTTTTTGTTGATGTTCCCTTCCTATAATATTCAATACGTATTTAATTTAAGCTTTACCTTAATACTGATTGGCTATTAGATTGCCCATATATTCGAACATCTGAAGAAAACAATGTTCTCCTAAATTCCCTAGATTAGTTTTTTGCAAGCAAATTTATACAGTAACAGCTGGCCTTGCATATTATGTTGTGTAAAGCCAGTATATGAATATAACTTCCATTAATGTCAACTTAAAAATTATAATTTAATGCTATCTTAATACTAGCTAAACTTTTGTTAATACTATCTAAATATTATCTAAACAATACTATCTAACCTTTTATTAAAAGTTAATAAATAACATCAGTTTGACAGTACCTAGAGTATATAATTATAAATTAATTTTTACATAACTCAAAATGTCTAGGTTAAAAAGTAATAAATAAGTGGTAGATTTTTCAAAGTTTATAAATCACATTCCATTTAAATTATGGTAACAATTATAGCAATGCTAAACTAGACATTATTCTAATTAACTCATTTCATTCTCATAATGCTCTGAGGTAGATACTATTATTTTCTATTTATTTTATAGATGAGTTAAGGTGGATAGGAGTTAAGGTAATTTGCCCAAGGTCCCACAGCTAGAAGGTAGCAGAGTCAGCATCTAAGTCCAGGCATTGTTACTCAGAAATCTGTCCTCTTGACCGCTACTCTCTACTGCATGTCTGGGGATTTCGGAATAAACGTTAACAACTCTTTAGCAACTATTACATACCATACACTAATAAAATATCTTCTTTCATTTGCTTCTCCCTAAATCTTTTGGATCAGTTTCTATCATTCCAATATAATACATGATTTTAAATAAAGTTAAGAGAAATTAGTAATGTTTTAAATAGCAAGACTCTTAAGTGAGGACTTCAAAATTTAAGAGTCCAATTTTCCAAAATTTTCTGTGTAAAAGTTGTACCAATTCTCAGGTATTTACCTTACTTTTCATTTAGCAAGAAAAATAAAAGCAATTAGAAGAGAACTATGGCCCTCATAGACATCTAAAAGATTTTAAGCCTACCACTCTATTGAAACTCTTTTTAACAAGATCATGAACAACTCACATTGCTAAATCCAATGATCAATTCTCAGGTCTCATCTCAGACCTATTAAAATACTCAGTATAGGTTATTACTACAAATATTACTTTATAATATTTTTTTCCTTGGATTTAAGATCACCTGCAGCCTCCTATATTTTCTCCTATTTCTCCGGTTAACATTATTTGCACGTCTGTCATCTTCTCGCAGCCTATGAAAGTTGTAGTGATCCTTTTCACTTCTCTATCTGCACTTGCTCCCTTTATAATCTCACTCAGTCTCATACCATTTATCCACTGAGAATTCCCAACATTTTTTCTCAGCATGACCTATATATACTCCATATATGTCCACCAAATCTGTAGGTCCACAGCTTTTTGCTGTCTGTGAGGAATCTCAAGCTTCACATGGCAAAACTGAACTAGTGATTATACCCACCCCAGATATTCACTCCTCATGATTTCTCCATCCTGGTTGACATCAACCCTTAAGTTGCTCAAGGCAAAAGTCTTAGAATCTTTGTTGCTTTCCTTTTACTCATACTTCACATATAATCTTTCAGTAAGTTCTGTGGTCTCTACCTTTAAAATATATCCAGGATACAGGTACTTTTCACCATCTTCACTGCTATCACCTGAGTCAGACCATCATCATCTCTGGTCTAAGTTCCTGCAATAGCCTCCTAACCAGTTCTATTGTCTCCTTATACCTAATCCACAATACAGCAGCCAAGATGATCTTGAAACTACTCAGATAGTGTAATTCCTAGACTCAATATACAGCATCTTCCCATGTCATTTAGAAAAGCCACAGTCTTTACAATACAAGGTCTAACATAATCTACTTTATTGTCTACTATTTTATTCCTTTCTTACTTACTGGTCTCCTTGTCATTCTTTTAACATGTGAGGTACATTCTTGCCTCAAGGCCCTTGCACTTGCTGGTCCCTCTGCCTGGAACATTGTTGCCCCGGTCCTCTACATTGTTCACTCTCTCAACATTTGCCGACCTTTTCCTTAGAAGTCACCTTACCAGTGAAGATTTCCCGGCCATTTTATTAAAAATAGTATTATTTTTCTCCTGACAAGCACCTTCTGTCATTTTTATATAACTTTATTTATTTTGCTTATTGGCTATCTCAGAAACTCCAACAGAACATAAAGTCTGGAGAAGCAGAAATGTTTGCCTACTTTTATGTTTTTTCCATAGGATCTGAATAGTGAATAATGCCTGGCCAGAAATGGTGCTGAATAATATTGGTTGAATAAATGACTCGTTTATCAGAGCAAATGGTATATTTGAAATAAGAAGATCTCTGCCCAAGTCTTAGCAGAGAAAACTACTAGCTCTAGAGGCCAACGGCTTTTACCTTTTTCGCTTACCAGTGTATGTTTAACATCTTGCACAGTGACTGACATTGAGTAGATGCTTAATATTTTATAAATGTCTGATTCACAGAGAAATCCATAGTAGATAACTATTTATTAAGAAATCACACTGAAGATCTTTTTTCAATTTTGTTTTTCTTAGTGTGACTAGAAGCTAATTAATAAGAAATATCTGAAACAGTTAAGAAAATACAATTGTTCCAATGAAATGCATATTTCTTATCATCTTTTAGCAAGGATAGAGAACATACCAAAAACTTTAGTAGCATTTGGATATTGACATGGAAATTTAAGAGAATGATATATGGAAATGACAAAGAACTAGAAGATATTGTCCAGTCATACCTCACATTCCAAGCCTGTAGTTGGTGTTAGCATATCAAACACAGTGATGTCTGATGGAGTAATCATTTCCAAAACTGTCAGAAATGAAATGTAATCCTCATTAGTGGAATTGTTTATCATGTATGGAATTGACATGTGACAGAAACTGTGCTAAGAAATTTTATATAGATTATTTCACATATTCCTTCCTAGAATCCTGTGATGTTGGTAATAATAGTATTGATATTTTACAGATGAGGAAACTAAGCTGCAGAGAAACAAGGCTGTTAAGCGGCAGAGGCAGAATCTGGACTCAGAAATGAATTCTGATTCCATAAATTTTAATCACCATTCTATAAACACCTTTACCTTCTTAATGGTGCCAACAGAATTGTTGAACAGGTTACAGATAAATTAATATATCACTAACCATTCCTCAGGAGTTAAAAATTTTGTTGCATTTTGAAAATACATAATGAGGTTGACAACTTTATTTTGGTGAACCTTGAGAATGTGTTCTTTGTAAGCAGAATAGATGTTGCTGTAGACCATGTGGAGACCCTAGTCGATGGGTATGGTTTAGGGGTGACCCATGGAAAAGGGAGATGTGATTGGTAAATACATTTGTGAGGCACCTTCTAAAGGTGCCAATATTAGAGGTATCTTTAAAATAGTCAGTCTGAAAGATTACAGAAGAGCCACAATGAATGGCTGAAATTATTCTCAGCTATAATTGCAGTGCCCACAATTGATAGTGTTTAAAAATAACCTCATTAGTTTCCTATTGCTGCTATAACAAATTACCACAAATTTAGTGGCTTAAAACAACACCAATGTATTAGCTGTTCTGGATCTCAATGTAGCCATTTCTCAATGTATACATATTTCAAAACAACATGTACACAATAAATATATACAATCTTTGTTAATTTTTAAACTTAATTAATTTGTAAACAAAAAAGTTCTAAAATCAAGTTATCAGTTGGACTGCATTCCTTCTGGAGGCTCTAAGGAGACTGTTTCCTGGTCTCTTCCAAATTCTATGAACTACCTGTACTTGGCTCATGGTCCCTTCCTTTACCTTCAAAACCATAGCACAATAGATTCAAATCCATTTCTCTCTTCCCCTTCTTCCTTCCCTTTCATTCCCCTTCTTTCCTCTAATTCTGCTGTCACATCACCTTCTCTGACTCTAACTCTCTTGCCTCTCTCTTATAAGGACATCTGTGATTACATTGGCATCACATGAATATTCCAGGATAATTTCCCCATCTCATGATCTAGGCATAAGCCAGTCAGCATCTTAATTCAGCCACATCTACAGCATAAAAGGTCATATATTCATAAATTCTGGGAACTAAGACATGAACATTTTTGGAGAACCATTTTTCAGCATATCACAATGACATTTTATAAACTTTTACTTTTGCTGGCTTTGCATGGTGGTTCTCATCTGTAATTCCAGCACTTTGGGAAGCCAAGGTGGGTAGATCACTTGATGCTAGAAGTTTGAGACCAGTCTGGCCAATGTGGCAAAACCCCATCTCTACTAAAAATACAAAAATTAGCCAGGCATGGTGATGCCCTGTAGTCCCAGCTACTTGGGAGGATGAGGCAGGAGAATCGCTTGAACCCAGGAGGCAGAGGTGGCAGTGAGCAGAGATTGTGCCACTGTACTCCAGCCTTGGTAACAGAGTGAGACTCCATCTCAAAAAATAAATAAATAAAAATAAAAACTTTGTTTAGCTAAATAAATTCTATATATTACCCTCATTTTATACTTATTTTATAGTTTCTAACTTGCAGTACAGGTAAAGTAGGACAAAAATTTCTACTCTTTGGTCCTATGTGCAATGTTTGCAATATCTTAGATCTTGTATCATCTAAAAAATGTGATATTTAATAGTCTTAAATATCTTTATTCCATCATTATAAACATTTAGGCAAAGAAAAATAAGGCAACATTCTAGTCTAATCCAAGGACACAGTCACAAAAAAATTCTAATGACTGGGGCCGGACACAGTGGCTCACACCTGTAAACCCAGCATTTGTAGGGGCTGAGGCAGGTGGATCACCTGATGTCAGGAGTTTGAGACCAGTCTAGCCAGCATGGTGAAACCGCATCTCTACTAAAAATACAAAAACTATCCAGGCGTGTTGTCAGGTACCTGTAATCCCAGCTACTCAGGAGGCTGAGGCAGGAGAATCACTTGAACCCAGGAGGTGGAAGTTGCAGTGAGCCAAGATCATGCCATTGCGCTCCAGCCTGGGTGACAGAGTGAGACTCCATCTCAAAAAAAAAAAAAAAAAAAAAAATTATAATGGCTGGGAATTTCAGTGGTCTAATGAAGGAGTCCATTGTTATCTAAAATCATCAAAGGCTTATAAACATTATCTGGGTGTGGACTTACAATGACCAAGCTGTCTTGATAACTATAGCTCTGTGGTGTCTTCAAACTGAGAATTACAAGGCCTCCAAATTAGTTGTATTTCAAGATTGTTTTGGCTGCTCTAGGTTGCTTCTACTTCCTTATGAATTTAGGGTTAACATCAATTTCTGCAAAGAAGTAGCTTGGATTTTGATAAAGATTGTATTGCATCCATAAATACAATTTGGGAGTATTGCTATCTTAACAATATCAACTCTACCAATTCATGAATATGGAGTTTCTTCAGCTTCTTAATTCTATTAATAATGTTTTATAGCTTTTATTGTACAAGTTTTACACTTCTTTTGCTACATATATTCTAAGCATTTTATTCTTTTTGATACTACTATAAATGCATTTGTTTCCTCGATTTCATTTTCAGATTGTTCAAGGCTAGTATATAGAAATATAATTGATTTTGTGTATTGCTCTTGTATTCTGCAAACTTGCTAAACTCATATATTATTGCTAATAGTTTTGAGTAGATCTCTCAGAATAATCTAAGATTGTACCATCTGCAATTATAAATAGCTTTATTTTTCTTATTATTGAGGATAATGAAATATAGTTAGTATTATCTACATATAGATTGTGGTGATTTAAATCATTTTAGACATTTGAGATATATGTTGAATATTAATTTACAAGACATAAGAGAACTCAAAGTAGAGAGTAACACTTAGAATCACTAGCAGTCTATGCCCCAGATGTTAAATCTTGCAACCTTATTTATAGACTTATTCCCCTTATAAATTGAATGACGTAGGTGAAGTACCTCCACCTTCTCCCAAAGCATGCTTTAAACTATACTAAATTCACTGATGCCTAAAATTTCACAACAGTATAGTAATTCCTCATCTCTACTAGGGTAATATTTCTCTCATAGGGCTCTTATCAAGATTAAATATATGCCAAATGCTTAATCCAATACCTGGCATATAATTAGTGCACAAACGGTAGATAACTAGAGAAGCAGTGGTACTAATGATGGCTGTAGTAAGGCTCTTAATTCCTTTTAAAAAAATCCAGTTTCTTACCATGAGTCCTTTTTGATCTGCTCCTGATAATCTCTTTCACACCATCTTTTGGCACAAGTCCCCTCAAACTGCACATTCAAGACACACTGACCTGCTTAGGATTCCTTCATGTGACATATTCCTTCTCACTTCCAGACTTTGTACATGCTGTCCTTCTAATAGGAGCATATGTCCCCTTCTCCTAGCCTACCCAACTCCTATCTTCAATTAACCTTCTGAGACCTCCAAAATAAATATGGTGGCCCTCCTGTGGGCTGCTTGTATTTACCCCTGTTGTAAGACTGCCGTAGCCTCTGGTCTATCAGCAGTTCTAGGGTAGGGGCTGTGACTTGTTTACCATACCTCCTCACTGAGTGCCAGGACAGTGCCTGGTAGAGTTGATGCTCAATTAAACCTTGTCAAATAAACTGAAAGAATAAATATCTGAACTTGACCTACATTATAATACCTTGAGGAATAATACCGTAAGTCTGTGGAGCCTCACTGTGAGTGGATTATTAAATCCTTTCCTGAGGCCAGTTTCAAAGTGCGGGAGGAAAGCAGGGCTAGAAGCCTGGAATGCCTCCTCCAGAGCCTGAGACAGAATGCAAACACAGAAATGGAGGCAGAAAAGGAAACCTGATTTACGTCTATGTTTCATGACAGCCAATTTAATCACCATGAAAATTTAAGTGGAATTTAATCAAACCTAAAAGTAGAATTTAGGTTTTTAGATGTGAGGGAAGGCCAAGGAATCTATATGAACTGAAATGAAGAACGAGGTGAATCAAAAGTAGAAGCCATTCAGAAAATGAGGCATGCAGCCCAGCGCAGTGTGGCTCACACCTGTAACCCCACCACTTTGGCGGACTCAGGCAGAAGAATCCTTTAAGGCCAGAAGTTCTAAAAAAACATGGCAAGGTGAGCCAATGAATGAGCTTAATGAACAAAAGTGACTGTTGGGTTCATATTAATAATAGCAGCTGTGGTAAATGTACCAACACTCAAATTACATAATGCTATTTTTGTTGTCAAAAATTGTAACAATACCTGTAAACATGGGTACAGTTGGCTTAGCTGGTGGTATTAATGCTGGTTCTGTGGGAATCACAGGTATGCCTAAAAAGAAACAAAGATGCTCTTTTTAAAACTATATTTGCTTAAAATGAGATCCACATATTTCATAGAGGGCTCTTTAGCTTCAAGGAAAATGTTTTGGGAAAGAGAATGTAAGAGGGATGTCAGTGGAAGATCCACATGATTTAAAAAGTAATTAGAAAAAAATCAGCTATGTAAGGGATATTGAAGAAGAATCTTGATTGTCTAAAACTTCTGATTTACAACCAATTGCCTCAGAGAGAAAATATGCAAGCATATCATTTTTCAGAGTATATTAAGCAAGTTTCACACTTACAGTCTCCTGGATAAACACACTTGAGGGTGACCTCATCAAGGATCATATTTTTAGGGCAGTAGGGCAAGCATCCTTCAACCCTTTACATGAAAAAAGAGTAAATCAAAGTGAAAAAAAGTTCAAAATACCAAAAAACGACTACATTTAAATATGCAACTAAGATATATTCTTCCAAAAAGGCTTCTATATACCCTCGTCAAGCACTAAGAGCTGCTCCATCTGCTACCAACCCATCATACTTCATTTTATAAAACCACAAGCTAGAGGATAAGAGAACAGCATTAAGATTAAGGCAGAACTTGAACACAGAATATTCAAACCGTATACTTATGTCTAGGGCACACTAAGGCCATGTTGCATAAGTCAGTGGAAATGTGGAATAACTTATTAATATTATGTTGTTGTTGTTGTTGTTAAGAATAATTTGTTAAGATTATGTTGTTGTTGTTGTTGCTGTTGTTGTTGTTGTTGGTGGTGGTGGTGGTGGTGGTGACAGGGTCTCACTCTGTCACCCAGGCTGCAGCGTAGTGATGTGACCTTGGCTCACTGCAGCCTCATCCTCCTGGGCCCAGGTGATCTTCCCACCTCAGCCTCCTGAGTAGCTGGGACTATAGGCATGTGCCACCATGCCTGGCTAATTTTTTTTCTATTTTTTTGTAGAGATGGAGTTTCATCATGTTGCCCAGGCTGCTCTTGAATTTCTGGGCTCAAGCAATCAGCCCGTCTTGGCCTCCCAAGGTGTTGGGACTGCAGGCATGAACCCCATCACCTGGCCAATTTATTGAGATTTTAATCTGTACTGATTGCACTGTTGCTTTCCACTCTTATACTCCCCTCATATTCAAGCAGATTGGCGTGCTCTTTGACACTATCCTTGCCTTGACAGTGTTTGTAGAACAAACAGAGCATCTTCAATGGCTCTCCCTACCTGTTATTAAATCCTAAACTCACTGAAAAGATATTAGTGCTTTCTAGATAGAAGGGCTGAACATGGTGGCAATTCTTTTGAGAACAGGGAGAGGAAGAGCAGAAGCCATAGTTTTCAAGAATATTGGGACCTGTGCCCAAATCTGGGGCAGTGCCCTGAAAGAACATGGTTGTATAAGAGCCTGAAAAGATTCCGTTTCAAGCTCTAGGATGTCTGGCCTTGGTAAGAATCCCTAGTCCTTGTTTGGAGCACAGAAGCCAAGGGAGAGTCTCAAATTTCGAAAGGCCATGTTGTAGGCCAAAGAAAGGAGGGAACATGAGAACACTTTTCTTCTAAAGGAATGGAGACAAAATAATGACTGAGAGTACATTTTCTTCGTGTCCAATTAAGGCTCAGAGTTCAATTTATTCTAAATCAAAAAATATATATAATCCTTCAGGTGCAACCAATTCTAATTATTATACTACAAAGAATTCATGCAGATATTGTTATAAAAAGGCTTGCTCATCTGCCTCTAGAATATTCTAGCAGTTTTTAATGATATATTTAAATATTTTTAAAACGTTCCATTGCCTCATCTGTAAAGAATTTGAACTAAGAGTGTTGAAGACTTCGTTCATTTCACATGGGAACAAACTAACTCTACACTAAAGGTAAATGCTGCCCAGAAGACCCTTGTTCTTGTAGGCAAATCCAGGCAACACTTTTTAAAGACCAAGAAAAGTTAACTTCTGTCTTAATGAGGTTTAATGAAACACATTTAGCCATCTCTTGGATACCTCCTTCACAATCGATTTTTTTAAAAACGCAAACAGCTCAGCTTATATAATTAATCTGAGTAATAAAACTTCAACTAGCATATAATATTCTCTTCTAAACTTTGTGAAGTGGAAGAAAACAGAAAAAGCAAGGTTACTGGATCACTGAAAGCAAGGACTAGTTATTCTATTTAATTGGGTCAAAATCAATTTTTATGCAATTCAATTATTTTGCAGCTGTTTTATGCAAGTCGAAACCACAGCCATCCTTGTATAATACTTTTCAAAAAACCATTAACTTGTTCCTTAAAATGCTTGTCAACAAAGCAAAAGAAAGGTTTGCTTTCTTTTATCATACAATTGGTATTCTACTCAATTTCTAACTGATAAGTTTAATGCCTCAGATGCAGAATAGTTCTTATAATAGGTATATTAGACAATAGGAATAACAGTATTTACATATGTGCTCTATGTATACTATTTGGCAACTTTTCTTATAAAAGCTGTAATTTTTCAATGAAACATTTTTATTCTAAACACTTGCTATGTGCCAGAAACTGCAATCACCTAGAACAAGAGTGCTGGTTCTGTAGCAGACTTGGAGGAGGAGGTGCAAGGGCACATTAAAGCCCTAGCTCAGTACGTGAGTCCCCCCTCAAGTACTGCAGATACGAGGCATAATAATTAGCCACCTTGGCACAGGGAAAGTACAAGGAAAAAGAAATGAAGGTAGAGATGAGAATCAGTTGGACAAGGGCAAAGTTTCATCCTGAGTTTCTTCTCAGCACCCCAGCCATACAGAAAGTGAAATTTATGGACAGCTACAGACCAATACACTGGAAGCATTAAGGATCAGGGTTCTACCACCCCAGAGACTGGTCATGCCACAGAAGTCATAAACTAGCCAAATGCCAATTGAAAATATAGCTGAATGTCTTCGCCAGTGCCTGGCCAGCTGTGCCTGCTGCTGTGTTTCTTCCTTCCCCACATGCCCCCCCCATTGCTTAGCCTCACCTCAAGGCCACTCTTGCATGCTCTCACCCCAATGGTTACCAGAAGAGGCAGGAAATAGATTTGTGAGTGGGAGAAGTTCAAATGAATGATGAAGACTTCAGAAGAAAATAAGTGATTGTTTTCATTTTTAAGAAACTAAACAAATATCAGGTTCCTTCCTCTGATCCCACAGCACTTCACATACAACAGAGTGTAGCAGTCCAAACCCTGGCACTACTGCTTACAAACTGTGTGACCAGGAAACCACAGTGGCTCAGGCCACTTGTCTTGGCAATTGAGGAGATGAGGCTGTGGGTTCGAGGCCAGCCTGGACAACTCAAGAACATCTCATTGATTTAAAAAAAAAAAAAGAAAGAAAGTATGTGACCAGGGCAAATTGTGTTGCTTCCCTGTGCTTCAGCTGGTTTCTCCTCTGGGAATGGGAATAAGGAGATTGCCCATTTTACAGCACTTGGCACATAGTTCACATCTACTGTAAATACCTAAATGAGCTAGCTGTTGTGGTTACCCCTCAAGGCCTCCCTAGTCCTCTTTCCATTCCATTGCCATTTTTTTCTTGTGTTTCTGTCTCCTTCCAAAGATTGTGAGCTCCTTGAGAGAGGGGCTGGATCTTACAGAGAGGCTAGATCTTACATATTGGCAATATTTGCCATAGAATAGAAGCTTGTAATTGTTCAATGTAAAATGATTCTCCTAAAAATATTCCCTCCTACTATTGATCCATATCTCCTTTATGAAAAACTATTGTTAAAAAAGGCTGTTTACACTCTCTGTCACTGTTTTGTCTCTTCCTAATTTTCTGACTTGCTAAATCCAATGAACAATTTTCCATATCAAACCCTATATGCTCAAAATCAAATTCCTGACCTTTCCTTCTGTTTCTGCTAACATCTTCCTTATCTCAGTATAGGCAATACAGTCCTTCTATTAGATCAAATCATTTGAAATTATTGCTATTTGACCAATTTGGCTACCAAAAATAGCAAAACTTCATATTATTTCACCTAATAACTGCTGAGGCCAACACTTGATTTTTTAACTCCTCTTTCCCTCATAAGTGATAATAACTCTTGTATGTTCCTCATAACCTCCAGGGCCACCAACCTAGTCAAATCTTGTCTTGTCTGTATCACTGATCAATTCTGCCCTGTCCTCCCCTTCTCCAAGAGCCCATTCTCAATACAACAGCCGAAGTACAATTTTTAAAACATAAATCTGATCATGCCACTCCACTGCCTAACAGGCTATAAAGCCTTATATGATTTGTCCACTATTATTATTCTCTCATCTCCTGCTTCTTTCCATTTTGCTTACTGTGTTCTAACTTATGGCCTCCTTGCTGATCCTTAAACACACCAAACACATTCCCACTTTAGAAGCTTTGCACTATTCTCAGATTAAAGACTCTTCCTCGATAACCACCCGGCCAGTCCCTTCACTACATTTAGATCTCTGACCAGATGTCACCTTGTCAGGGTGCTCTTCCCTAACCACCAATATTAATTGGCATACACACACACACACACACACACACACATGCCTTATGCTCTCTGTCTCCCTTACCTTCCTTTATTTTTCTCTGTGACACATATCTGCCATAACAATATGTTGCATTATATATTTACACTTTTGTTTGGTTATTTTCTGCTCAATCCAACAATATGTAAGCTTCATGAGAGGAAATACTTGTCTATTTTGTTCAGTATGGTCTCCTCAGAAGCAAGAAGATTACCTGCCACATAGCAGACTCTCAATAACTACTTCTTGATTTAAGTGAAATTAATATCATGAAAGAATATATAGCATAAACAACTTGAGAATAGCTGTTTTTAAATCTTGAAACAATTCACTGAAAACAGAATTTGCTAAGGCTGGAATTTGATCATTTATTGGTAAACATTACTTACGGTGGAAGAAATTTACATGCTAGTGCTTCAGGGTCACTACAGGTTTTAAAACAGGGAATAGCACAAGGTTCATATCTCCATTCACACATCTTCCTGTAAGGCACTGCTGTCTGGATTTCTGAGAAAAAATAAAGTTTAGGTTGTGTGCATATTTAATACATAGCTTGAAAAACTAACAATTTTTTTTTGAGACAGAGTCTTGCTCTGTCGCCCAGGTTGGCGTGCAGTGGTGCCATCCCAGCTCATCACAATCTCTACCTATCAGGGTCAAGTGATTCTCGTGCCTCAGCCTCCCAAGTAGCAGGAACTACAGGCACATGCCACCACACCTGGATAATTTTTTTATTTTTAATAGAGACAAGGTCTCGCATGTTGACCAGGCCAATCTCAAATTCCTGATCTCAGGTGATCCACCTGCCTTGGCCTCCCAAAGTGCTGGGATTATGGGTGTGAGTCACTGTGCCTGGCTGAAAACTAACAATTTCTTATATGAATCCTCCTAGGGTTTGACCCCTCTTTGACTACAATGCTACAGGAAAGAGACCTAAAGAAAAAAAAAACACTGTAATTGCATGGTGACCAAAGCATTTCATGCTCAGATTAAATATCTACATGTTCACCTATCTTCCAAAGATTTAAGAAAACAAAGGGGGCCAGGCATGGTGGCTCACACTTGTAATCCCAGTACTTTGGGAGTCCAAGGCGGGCAGATCACAAGATCAGGAGTTTGAGACCAGCCTGACCAATATAGTGAAACCCCATCTCTACTAAAAATACAAAAATTAGCTGGACATGGTGGTGGGTGCCTGTAGTCCCAGCCACTTGGGAGGTTACAAGACTACAATAGGCTCTGGGAGTTTCCTAGGTTTCCGAAGCTTACAAAGGTCAGCTTCTGATTTTCTGATGATGTCATGTGCTCTAAGCCTCAAATGGAGCTACTAGGTCTGGTTCTAAGAGTACATATTTCTAGAGCTGAGGGGAAATAGAGGTCTGTAAAGGTCAATTTTGGGTAAATTCAAGTAAGCAAATCATAAGCAACTCACACCCACTCTATGGAATGCTATATAGATGTGTCAGTGGTTCTTTTTCTCAACAGCACAGCACAGGAGGACAGGTCTACCCTTGGTTCTCCTTACTTTCTCTCTCCCATGTACACTTCTCAAAATACCTATTAAAAGTTGTGAGAATTATCCCGGTGTAAGGAGAAATCCAGGCTCTGTTGCCATTCCCAACAGGATGTCCTGAAAAGTGTGTGCTCAGTGATTCCAGTTGCACCTGAAGCATCAAATCCAGAGCAGAGTGCTTCAGGGTAACTCAGCTGCAGTGCAACATGGGGCGTGTGCAGACAAAATTCAGTTCACCCTGGGCTTTTCTGAGTCTTAGAGGACTGGCTCACCGTGAATCCTAGGCATCTGTTGATTCTTGCTGTCTATCTGTAAGTAAATAAAATTCCTTTGCCTGACTTGTTCTGTGGGTATCTCACCACACTGAACCTAGGAATGCAAATAGTAGAGATATTATAGCTTCTTTTGCTTTGTTCTAGGCTCACTGACAGAGTATGAACCCTCGCAGAATTCTGGGATTCTGGTTTGCACAAAGCCTCTTGCCAGACTTAGGAAACTTTGCACACAGAACTTTATACAATAGGTAAAATTCTGAAGCTCAATTTGAACTTTTAAAAATTCATTACTGGAAGGGTTTGCAGAAATTTATTCTCAACAGAAAAGACAAATTATTTGCTCTGTTGAACTGCTTTAAGAGGTTTCACTAGGCCGAAACAATTTCCTGGGGAGACTCAAGATAGATATGAAGCTCCTGGATTTTGAAAACAAAGGATGACTTTTAAACATTGCATAAAGAAGTAAAGATTGCCTCAGAAAACTCAAAACTATAGACCTCAGTCTCTCTAGAAGTAAGATTAGGTTTCTGCTGAACTAGATAATCTTCTAGAGGTCAATGGAAACAGACACACCCTATACTCAAAGGACAGAGATCAACATGTTGTCCTCATCACTAAGAATCAGATTAATCAAAAGTTGCCTTCTAGGAAAAAAAAAGTAGATATAGACATTAGACAACCATGCCACATGAGTAGGCTCTGATTCCAATGTCCGGACAGCACGTGTATTAACATTTGGGGTAATAATAAAAAATCAGGATTATTTAATAATAATAAAATAATAAAAATGTATTCCTAAATAATAAAAAAATTTATTCCTAAATAATAAAAAATTTAGAATTGTTCTAAGCAGTTTACCAACTTATTCAATACTCATAATAACTCTACAAAGTGGGTATTATTATTTTCCCAATTTTACAGATGAGTAAACTAGGGGGTATAGAGCTTGAGAAACTTACCTAAAGTCACACAACTCTATCTGCTTATACACAGTAAGAATGACTTTTAAATTAAAGACATAAATATTCTGCATAATATAAATTACCTATTTGTTCTCTTTTTTGGAGATCTCAGAAAACATACCTTCTATGCTGAAGCTACTTGAATGTTTAAATTCTTCAGAATCATCATATTTTGATGCTTTGACACTAGAATCTGTGAATATGATGAAAAAGCCTTTCTTGCTGTATAATTCAAATGCACTGTAACCAGGAATCCAGAGGCCCTGATGGTGAAAGAATGTTGCTCTCTGATGAAAGGCTGAATTCGCCTCCCACAGCTCCAAGCTAAGAGTGTCACTTTCATGGACATAGAGAAAGTAGTTTGGCCTTTCAGCAGATTCCAACGAAACAAGTGCCAACGCTGTAAAACATGGAGCAGTGTAGATTCTCAGGAGAAGAAAGATCATCAACATTGGCATCACAAAATGTACTTATAACGTAAACAAAAATAGTTCCACACAATTGCCAAACATAATTAGTGCAAATCACCAAGATTTCAGAAATAAATTAGGAGATGTCTGAAAGACGACAAAAAGTAATACTTTAAATTTAGTGAATAACAGTGACATCACTAAAAAAAAAAAAATCAGTCTTTGATGGCTTCCGATTTTTAAATAATTTATTTTGTCCCTGGCGTAAAAAAGAAATGCCAATGAGGACTCCAGAATGTACAATTTCATACAAGGAACTGAATGATTAATTGGACATATATTTGGGTTTGCAAGCTTTAACATTTGCAAATGCACAAAATCTACAAGTGGCTAAACTGGATGACAGAAAAAAATAAAGAAACAGATCAATTTAGGGATATAACTGCATTTCAGTATCACTGGACTCTTTTAATAAGCAAATGTTCTCACAAGAGATTTCACTGCACCAAAAAAAGGACTATTTATTCAACATTATTGTCTATTTCCCAGAAGATGATCTATCAAATGGCTAATGAGCAATTGAGCTTTACAAAGCATTGAAGAAGTAGTACCATTTTTTGCTAGGTACTTTGAATATTTACCTTATATTGGTAAAATTTATGATATAAAAGTTTTTAAATTGAGATGATTTGAGATTGATTTTCTTAAATAAACATTATTTGGATTTTTTTCTATTAAAATCATTAGTTATTACTAATTGCAAAATGAAGAGTTCTCTCAAATTTAATATGATCTCAAAGATATTTATCATGTTGTAAAATTCAAGTTCCTCTGTTGAGCACCAAAAGATGAAAAGAATAATAAAATAAATTTTTATATGAGAAAAAACATAACCAACATAATTTAAAATTTGATGGTGAAAGGTGTTTTCAGAACTAAGAAAGTTCTTTTTACAGGAAAGAAATAATTTATTCTAACTGGAGAATTGTGAGAGTTCTCGGAAGAAGTGAAAGTTAAGTCTGATTGATTCAATTCAACAAATAAATTCCTAAGCTTATACCACATGCCATGCATGGTTCCAGGTACACGTATATAGACACAGGTAGCCTGAACATCACTGGATCAGAAGGGAAACTACCACCAATCAGAACAGGTGCCAGGTGGATACAACCAATACAGACCTGCAGGTGCAAACCAGTAAATGTAAGGCTGGGTTCAGTACACTGAGGACATGTCCAGGAACAAGAACAGACAAGACAGGTAAGAATAACAGACTGTCACAATGACTGTCTACACTCTGATTTATGCTCTTAATACATAACTTATTTGGTAACAATTCACAATTTATTTTTAGTTTTGGGGGCATTAAAATCTTTTAAATGTTAAGAATCTGTGGATGGTTTTCAAAAAATGTCAAATTAAGTTCCATGACTAATACTATGAAATTTTTAGATATATTTTATTTAACACCAAAAACTCAAACAATTGCAATTTTAACTAACATACATATGCCAATAAATAAAGAAATGATTTTGTATACAAAGGAGAAAGCTGGTTCATGTGCCAATGTTATATTTTATCTCACATCCTTTAGGGCACTTTAAAAAATAACATAAACATATTAGATTCTCAATTAACATTTACTGGGTGACTAAATTTTAAAATTTGAATGCAAAGCTAAATTTGTTTTCAGTTATACTTACATGATACCTTCTCTTTAAAAAGGCCTGGAGTGATCATAAAATAAAAAAATAAATTAGGATGAACACTGCTTCTTGGCAAAGAGAAAATGCTTCTGCTGGTCATATTGGCCCCTAGAACAAGGCCAGTCTGCCCATAGCTTGCCAGCATATATGGTCCTTCTCCAAGTCCTAGTTAAATACAAGTAAGAGAGCTATAAATTGACATAGATTTTTAAAATTTCAGTCTGTCATTTCAAAGAAATGTTTTAATAACAAAATACTTCAAAAAATTGAGCAATTAAAAATTTATCACTAATAAAATGACTAAACTCTTTAAAATAATAATTTATATATACAATGACATCTATTATATGTTTGTATTTAGGTTATATAAAATGTTCATATACATGTGATCAGTTGTTTCATAAAAGTTTAATCTTATTGCTCTCAGTGTATTTCACTTTCCCTCTCCTCTCAATTTTCTCAGCACACACTGAAGAAGAATTCAAAGAATATAAGGGCAAGATATTTCCTCTGAAGGACTTAAGACCAGGCCTGAATAGAGGGGAAAGGATAATTGGATTGGAGAAATGAGAAGTCTTCCAATTAGGAAAGGAGAAGGAGAACCAAAATTTTCATCATGAGAACCAGGAGAAGAACAGAAAGACTGAGAGGATACGTTATTTTCCAGTGTAGTCTCCTCACTGACCCATCATCTGGGACACATCACCACTGAGCGGCTGGGGACCCTTATAAACCATGAGGAAAAGTGCTTCACTAGGGGCTTTGGTACCTTGTATAGAGATAGAAACTTGAAACGGCTTTGCCCCCACATCAAGGTGGAGCTGAGCAGAAATGGCAGAGAATTCTTCTTAGCCTGGCTGCAGTAGACTCGCCACTGCTGTCACAAATGTTATAAATGCACAGTGTTTCTCCATGAGCCAAAATACATGAGGAAAAAAGAAAATTATAGCAATAGTCTGTACCAGGTAATGGCTCATTTTCTAGCAGGGACAAGAGGAAAGTGATGGGGCCAATATTCAACATCCTTAAAGAAAAGAACTTTCAACCAGAATTTCATATCCAGTCAAACTAAGCTTCATAAGTGAAGGAGAAAGAAAATCCTTTATGGACAAGTAACTGCTGAGAGATTTCATCACCACCAGGCCTGCCTTACAAGAGCTCCTGAAAGAAGCACTAAACGAGAAAAGGAACAACCAGTACCAGCCACTCCAAAAATTACCAAATGGTAAAGACCATTGACACAATGAAAAAAATGCATCAACTAACAGGCAAAACACCCCGCTAGCATCAAAATGGCAGGATCAAATTCACACATAACAATATTAACCTTAAATATAAGTGGGCTAAATGCCCCAGTCAAAAGACACAGATGGGCAAATTGCATAAAAAGTCAAGATCCATCGATGGGCTGTATTCAGGAAACCCATCTTACAAGCAAGGACACACATAGGCTCAAAATAAAGGGATGGAGGAAGATCTATCAAGCACATGGAGAGCAAAAAAAAGCAGGAGTTGCAATCCTAGTCTCTGATAAAGTGGACTTTAAACCAACAAAGATCAAAAGAGACAAAGAAGCGCATTACATAATGGTAAAAGGATCAATGCATCAAGAAGAGCTAATGATCCTAAATATATACGCACCCAATACAGGAATACTGAGATACATAAAGCAAGTTCTTAATAACCTACAAAGAGATGTAGACTCCCACAATAATACTGGGAGACTTTAACACTCCACTGTCAATATTAGACAGATCAACGAGTCAGAAAATTAACAAGGACATCCAGGACTTGAACTCAGATCTGGACCAAGCAGACCTAACAGACATCTACAGAACTCTCCACCCCAAATCCACAGAATATACATTCTTCTCAGCACCACATTGCACCTACTCTAAAATTAACCACATAATTGGAAATAAACCACTCCTCAGTAAATGTAAAACAATGGAAATCATAACAAACAGTCTCTCAGACCACAGGGCAATCACATAGAACTCAGAATTAAGAAATTAACTCAGACCCGAACCCCACCCTGACCCTGACCACCCCAGCCTCCCTCTGACCCAGCCCCTTGGCTGAGTCACCTGACCCTTCTGCGCACAGGCTTCATCGCCTCGGACATGACCTCCCAGAACTGTATAGCTTCATGGAAACTGAACAGCTGGCTCCTGAATGTTGACTGAATAAACAATGAAATGAAGGCAGAAATAAAGACGGTCTTTGAAACTAACGAGACGAAAACATAAGTGCGAGAATCTCTGGAACACATTTAAAACAGTGTCTAGAGGGAAATGTATAGCTATAAATGCCCACATGAGAAATAAGGAAAGATTGAAAATCGACACCCTATCATCAAAATTGAAAGAGCTAGAGGAGCAAGATTAAAAAAACTCAAAAACTAGCAAAAGACAAGAAATAACTAAGATCAGAGCAGAAGTGAAGGAGATAAAGACACAAAAAACACCTTTAAAAAGATCAACAATATAGACCACTAGCCAGATTAATAAAAAAGAAAAGGGAAAATAATCAAATAGATGCAATAAAAAAACGATAAAGGGGATATCACCACTGATTCCACAGAAATGCAAACTATAACCAGAGATTACTACAAACAACTCTACGCACATAAACCAGTAAACCTGGAAGAAATGGATAAATTTCTGGACACTTGCACCCTCCTAAGCCTAAACCAAGAAGAAGTTGAAACCTTGAATAGACCAATTACAAGGGTTGAAGTTGAGGCAGCAATTAATAGCCTACCAACAAAAAAAAGTCCTGGTCCAGACAGGTTCACAGCTGAATTCTACCAGATGTATGAAGAGGAGCTGGTACCATTTCTTCTGAAATTATTCCAAACAATACAAAAGAGGGAATCTTTCTCAAATCATTTTATGAGACCAACACCATCCTGATACCAAAACCCAACAGAGATTCAACAAGAAAAGAAAACTTCAGGCCAATATCCATGATGAACATAGATGCAAAAATCTTCAATAAAATACTGGCAAATAAATTGCAACACCACATCATGATCCATCATGATCAAGTAGGCTTCATTCCAGGGATGCAAAGCTTCTTCAACATATGCAAGTTTTAAACGTTATCCACCACATAAAGAGAACCAAAGACAAAAACAACATGATTATCTCAATAGACGCAGAGAAGGCCTTCAACAAAATTCAACAGCCCTTTACTATGCTAAAAACTCTCAATAAACTAGGTTTTGAAGAAACATATCTCAAAACAATGAAAGCTATTTACGACAAATCTACAGTCAATATCATACTAAATGGGCAAAAACTGGAAGCATTCCCTTTGAAATCCAGCACTAGACAAGGATGCCCTCTCACACCACTCCTATTCAATATAGTACTGGAAGTTCTAGCCAGAGAAATTAGGCAAGAAAAAAAGAATAAAGGGTATTCAATTAGGAAAAGAGGAAGTCAAATTATCTCTATTTGCAAACAAGATAATTGCATATTTAGAAGACTCTATCATCTCAGCCCAAAATCTACTTAAACTGATAAGCAACTTCAGCAAAGTCTCAGGCTACAAAATCAATGTGCAGAAAACACAAGCATTTCTATACACAAATAACAGACTAACAGAGAGCCACATCATGAGCAAATTCCCATTCACAATTGCTACAAAGAGAATTAAATGCCTAGGAATACAACTAACAAAGGATGTCAAGGACCTCTTCAAGGAGAACTACAAACCACTGCTCAAGGAAATAAGAGAGGACACAAACAGATGGAGAAACATCCCATGCTCGTGGATAGGAAGAATCAATATTGTGAAGATGGCCATACTGCCCAAAGTAATTTATAGATTCAATACTATCCCCATCAAGCTACCAATGACCCTCTTCTCAGAACTGGAAAAAAACACTTTAAACTTCATATAGAACCAAAAGAGAGCCTGCATAGCTAAGGCAATCCTAAGCAATAAGAACAAAGCTGGAGGCATCATGCTACCTGATTTCAAACTATTACTACAGGGTTGGTTTGTATAAAATAAATCATAACAGCATGGTATTGGTACCAAAACAGAGATATAGACCAATGGAACAGATCAAAGGCCTTGGAGGCAATGCCACACATCTACAACCATTTGATCTTTGACAAACCTGACAAAAACAAGCAATGGGGAAAGGATTCCCTATTTAATAAATGGTGTTGGGAAAACTGGCTAGCAATGTGCAGAAAGGAGAAACTGGACCCCTTCCTGACACCTTATAATAAAATTAACTCCAGATAGATTAAAGACTTAAACATAAGACCTAACACCATAAGAACCCTAGAGGAAAACCTAGGCAAAACCATTCAAGACATAGGAGTAGGCAAAGACTTCATGACTAAAACACCAAAAGCAATGGCAACAAAAGCCAAAATAGACAAATGGAACCTAATTAAACTCCAGAGCTTCTGTAGAGCAAAAGAAATAATCATTAGAATGAATGAGCAACCAACAGAATGGGAAAAAATTTTTGCAATCTACCCATCTGACAAAGGGCTAATAACCAGAATCTACAAAGAACTAAAACAGATTTATGAGAAAAAACAAGCAAACCTATCCAAAAGTGGGTGAAGGATAAGAACAGACGCTTTTCAAAAGAAGATGTATATGAGTCCAACAAACATATGAAAAAATGCTCATCATCACTGATTATTAGAGAAATGCAAATCAAAACTACATTGAGATACCACCTCATTCCAGTTAGAATGGTGATCATTAGAAAATCTGAAGACAACAGATGCTGGAGAAGATGTGGAGAAATGGGAAGACTTTTACACTGTTGGTGGGAGTTTAACTAGTTCAATCATTGTGGAAGACAGTGTGGTGATTCATCAAGGACCTAAAAATAGAAATTCCATTTGACCCAGCAATCTCATTACTGGGTATATACCCAAAGGATTATAAATCATTCTACTATAAAGACACATGCACAAGTATGTTCACAGAGGCACTGTTTACAATGGCAAAGACCTGGAACCAACCCAACCCATCAATGATAGACTGGACAAGGAAAATGTGGTACATATATACCATGGAATACTATGCAGCCATAAAAAATGATGAGTTTGTGCCCTTTGTAGGGACATGGATGAATCTGGAAACCATAATTCTCAGCAAACTGACCCAAGACCAAGAACCAAACACTGCATGTTCTCACTCATAGGCGGGTGTTGAACAATGAGAATACATGGACACAGGGAGTGAAGCATCACACACTGGGGTCTGTTGGGGGGTGCCAAGGGAGGGACAGTGGGAGGTGGCAAGGTCTGAGATGGATAACATAGGGAGACATGTCAGATGTAGGTGATGGGGGAATGGAGGCAGCAAACCACATTGCCATGTGTGTACCTATACAGCAATCCTGCATGATCTGCACATGTACCCCAGAACCTAAAGTACAATAAATAAAATAAATATATAAAGAAGAAAGTGACACGTATCTCCAAAATGCAAATATGCTTCAAAGTATAAATATGTAGATTTGTACAAATATGGAAATAATATACAAATAATAAGATAAGTTAATTATGAGATACAATTCAAAATGAAAACGATGTGTATATAACTACAACTTGAGGGCTTGAAGCACCCCCATGAATATTCAACATAAGAATAAGAAAGAAGATGAACAGCAAAACAAAATCTCTCCCCTGCTGCACACGCCCCCTAATTCAGCAACCTGAAAAGACAATTGCCACCTGAGAAATCTGTTTGTACAAAAACCTAAAGCTCTTGAATTGACTCTCAGTTAATTCGCAGCTTGATTCTGGACTATTTCGCCAGCAACTGAGAGACAAAAGTCATTGATCTTACCATTAATTTTCTGCATGAAGAAGTGTAATTTCACCATCTACTGAAAGCAATCATTTCCTGCAGTGATTCTTTAAAAACAGAAATAAGCATATCCTATCTAATAAAATTACTCTGAACTTAAAAATCACATAACTATTTTTAATAGGAAATTGAAGTTCTCCCTCATCTACAGAAATAGCATTTCAAATGCAAGCTTTACGTTTTTAGTTAAAGTCATATAAATGAGTACAAAGATATTATATAGAATCATTGTACTAAGGATTATTGAAATAATCTCAACAATAACCTTTGAATTCTCCTAATACTTTTTAACATTCTTCCTACAGAATCACAATTATTTATTTATGTATGTGCTTTAAATATTGTAAGTATCTTAATAACATAGTGTCTGGCATGTAGCAAATAAAGAAAGGGAGCAATATGCCAGCTATAAATGCCCAAAAAGGACTAGGTAAATTTATAATAGCTATGAAATTATTTGGGATGAAACAAATTAAGAATAAGCATTTAAAATCATTTTTTTATTATTACCTTCCACAATCATCAAAATTTTATATTCTCCTTCAATCGTCTATCACTCTTGTGTTGCTTTTACAAATTCCGACTTCCCTTGGCACATTGATGCCTTTCCCTATTACTTTGGTCATAGGAAATTTATTTTCCTGCCCCTCTACTGAGCCTATTAGAGTCTCATGAAGGCCAAATGCCCCATGTTCACTCTCTGATATTATCAATACAGCATTACAAATGAAACTAAAAGAACAGGTTTGAAGGATTCTGTAGCACATTAGAAGAATGAACCATCACTAGAAGTGCAGCAGACTTGTTAACAGAGAGCAAAATGTAGCAAGAGGTAGAGAGATTCAATATGTATAGAAAATTCTGCTTCTAGGTCCACAAGTCTGCAGAATAAATGCCAGAAAGTACAAAGGCACAGATGGAGATTGTCATAGCAGAACTGGGTGAATCAGGAATTTTTTTAGTGAGGAAGTTATTGGAGCATTTTCTCAGATTGTTGTCTGTGTACTATGTAGAACCTGTGATAACAATGTGTGGGGATCATCCCTACACTAGGACGTATTAACCATACAGTGGGCCACGTAGCATGGAAGTCATGCTCACTGGCCCTGAAGTCAAACTGTTTACAAATCCCAGTTTGCCACATTTTGGCTAAGTGAATTTGGCAAAGCTATTTAATCTCTTCCCTCTGCTTCAGTTTCTTCTGTAAAGTGTTGATAATAGTAAAATGCTGACAATAAAATAAAACAACATATTTTGATGTTTAAATTATATAATATAGAGAAAACAGTTAACACAAGAAAAGCTACTGTTATTATTATTAGACAATAAATTGCATTTTAATTATGGAATCCAATAATGTGGAGTGTGTGTACGTGTATGTATGTGTATGCATGCATGTGTGTGGCAGTCTCTTTAAAATCTTGAACAGTAAATACTATTACTTTGATTTTCCTTAACTACCACAGATATTTTTAAATGTTGAATTTGTCTCCTCTATCAAACATCCATAAATAAAACAAATATAACTAAAATAAAAAATTCTCATTTTCTTTTTAATTCATTATCTCTATTTCTCTAAACTTATCTAGCTGTCAAGTTTCTTCCTAGTCTAATAAGCCACCTGAAGTGCCTCAGAGTGGTTGCTTGGCCCAGATTTCCTGTAACTATTATTCTAACTGATACATCCATCATGGGTCCAGGGTTTGCCCAATTACTGACTAAATGGATACTTCCCTAGATCACCTTACTTGTCTGAATTAGGTTTTGGTGCCTGTGCCTTCTTCATTAAATAGATTTGAGAAAAAGACTCCAATTCTGCCAAATTCAAGCATTTTCCTTAAGAATGTAATTCTCTATCTTTTCTTACATCCGTGCCTTAGTTTTAGACAGCAGCACCTCTCAGATTTCTTATTGCAAATCTGGATGTTTGCTGAGACCAGGAGATCTTCATTATTATTTTATCAGTAAGTTCTCATTCTGGTAAAATGTAAAGAATGATTATTGCCTATAATGATGTCAAAATAAAACCCTTATGTTATTTCTTACATAATTACAGTTATACTTTGTTTCTTTTATTTCCACAACATAAGAAAAATGTGACTGTAGTCACCATGCTGTGCAATAGATAAGAGAATGTATTCCTCCCACCTAGTTGAAACTTTTTGTCCTTTGACCAACATCTGGCCTTTCCCTGTCCTCTTTCCCACTACCAGCCTCCAGTAACACCATTCTACACTCTATTTCTAAAAATTCAAAGTTTTTGGATTTTGCAAATAAGTGAAATCACATCATATTTGTCTCACTGTGCCTGACTTATTTCACTTAGCACAGTATTCTCAAGGTTCATCCATGTTGTTGCAAATGATAGAATTTCTTGATTTTTAAAGAATCAATAGCTAAAAGAAAGAAATTTAAATGTTCTCACCACAAAGAAATGGTAAATATTTGAGGTGATCGATATGCTAATTTGTCTGATTTGATCATTCCACAATGTGTACATGTATCAAAACACTACATTGTACCCCATAAATATATACAATTATATGTGTCAATTTAAAGATAAAATAAAAGTTTTAAAAACATTTGAACAATGTTTACATTTATTAAGTAATGGTAAAGGTATGCTTTTGTTATAGGCCTTTCATTCTTTTGATCTAAAAAATTGACTAACCTCACCCATCCATTTGTTCATGTCATTCCAAAACTGTACTGAGGGCTCTAAAATGCTGAGAGCTTAAGTTACACACTATTTTAGTTTTTGGGAAATAAATCTTAGCACAAATACTTAGAAATTTTTTTAAATTTTAAAAATGAAAAGCTTTTATGGAGTTATATACCAAGTTATAAACAATTTATAGTTTGTTCACAGCACAAGTTGTTTAAAAACTTTTAATCTGAAAATACACCCAATAGAATACTATAGTGATATTTTTAATTTGAATGTCACATACCTTCATTGTAGTATTCACAATCAAGTGCTAAAAGAAAAAAATAAATATTAAACTACATAAGAAGCCAATCACTTATCTGAATGTAGGCTAGATATAGCCACATATTTTTCAATAACTATGTGAAAGAATATAGAAGGGTATTACTTAGGAACTTTTTCTGAGAAAAAGAGATCTTTAAGTGACGTAGTATAATGAATTAAATTTCATATAATTGTTTTAAAGTAGGAAAATGTATCTACCAATTAAAAAAAATCAACTAAAAGTGTTTAAATTGTAAGTCTGTTCAGATGTTTTACCACCTACACAACTAAATTAAAAGTTTAGTCAAATCTTGAGGCAAATTCAAGGTCATTTTTTAAAAACATGTTTCTTATCATCAGAACAATGAAACTTCATAGGCATAAAAGAACTAAAGTCATAAACAATTTCTCTAAGGATGGTGTATAATTTATATTTCAAATGGTATAATGATAGTAATCAAACACAGAACAAAATATTATAATTTCATTTTATAAGTCCTTTCGATATTCTATAATTTATTATTGTCAAAGGAATATAAAATTTAGTCGTTTTGACTTGATTCTATTTCCATGAGTTTTCTGGCAATTATTTCTAAGATAAATCAACAATTAATATGTATTTCTGTATCAGATCTTTACATAATGATGGTCTAAGTAGGATACTCACAACAAACAGTAGATGATCTCCAATGAACTGATATCCCTTCCTGACAACACTTGTATGCATAGGCAGCTATACTAGTGCACAGACACTCACAGTCCCCACCAAGATTACAGTTACATGTATCTTCATGACAATTTTTGGCAAAAGAAGTAACATCAATCTGAAAAAGAAGGTGAAAGATTACTTAATTTCAATAGATACTGATTAAGATTTAAAGTCAGCCCTCTAAAAGAAAACTATGCATTTTCAAAATTTGATATTATCAGCTTAACACTGCCACCTAGAGAATTCTCTTTATTTCAAACCTTTTTATTGCCCAAAGGAGAAAGAAATGTATTAGGAAAATGTCACATCAAAGAACTAGCAAAGGAAATAATAAGATTAATAAATACATGTAACTTCAACATCTGCAACATAACAGATTACTTTTTAGAAGCTTCTCTCATTACTGGTATATTCACATGGCATTAAAAGAAGGGCATCTTCTGCTTCCAATTATAATTTTATGTAATTTTCTATCTTCCTTCCTTCTTTCCTTTCTTTTTTGTCCCTATTCTAATTGCTATTAATAGTAATAGCAGTCTTTTTAAAATACCTTATCCTATTTACTTAATCTATTTATTTTATTTGCATTACAGTTAAGCAGCTGACAAATTTTAATATATTGACAATGTGTTTAAAAAAAAAAAAAGGAACCAAGGGACCAGGTGCTGTGGCTCATGCCTGTAATCTTTGCACTTTGGGAGGATGAGGCAGGTGGATCACTTGAGGTCAGGCATTTGAGACAAGCCTGGTCAACATGGTGAAACCCCATCTTTACTAAAAATATAAAAATTAGCTGAGTATGGCGGCACATGCCTGTAGTCCCAGCTGTGGGACACTGAGGCAGAATTGCTTGACCGTGAAAGGTGGAGGTTGTAGTGAGCCGACATCAAGTCACTGCCTAGACTATCTCAAAAAAAAAAAAAAAGAAGAAGAGAAAAGAAAAGAAGAAGCAGGATTTTGTGCCACTGAGCTGTATTTTATTTTGTAGGTCAGTTCATGGGTTAACTTTTCTTTTCAAGTGGAAAAGAACCAGCAGGCTCTGTGGTTCAGGACTTGACACAATATTACTTGTCAAGCAACTGTGGTCCTTGGAAATTCTGAAAAGTCTCAAAAGTAACCCTTTTTTAGACAAGACTTTAGTTTACCTACATGCCTCTAATATTGTAGTCTTCAAACTTTTCTGTCTCAGAATCCCTTTACACTCTAAAAAAATCACTGAGATCCCCAAAGAGGTTTTATTTGTGGGATTATATCTACCAATATTTACTCTATTAGACATTTAAAATGAGACATTTAAAAAATAACAATAAACTCATTGCATGTTACCATGAATAACATGATTTTAGTGTTATTATCCCAAAAAAACAGTGAGAAGAGTGCCCTGTTTTGCATTTTTTGCAAATCTCTTTAATGTGTGGCTTACAGCTGGCACACAGCTGAATTCTCATATCTGCTTCTTCATCTGGTCTATCATCATGTTTTTGTCTTGTTCGGATCTGGGTTGAAGTAGATGAAGAAAATTCAGTTCCACACATATATTTAGTTGGAAAGGAAGGAGTACTTTAATATCTTTTTCAGGTAATTGTGATATTCTTTGATATTATATCAAAACTCAAAAAGTATTGTTTTCTTAAAAGTTCACTACAATGTGAAGTCTAAAACCATATTAATAAATTGTTTATTTGAATGGACCTTTTACTTCTGCATGATTTTGTAACATCATGCATTAGTTATGTGAAAAATTTATGAACCTATGCAGATCTTTGAAATGTTGACATATTTAATTATATACAATAGCTACAAGTCACATTTGTTATTATCATAATCTAGATCATCAAAAAACTCCTTAAGTATAAAAAAACCTCATAAGGTCGCAGGAATGGATCTAACTTTTACAAAACTCTAATTTTTATTTGAAAGTAAATTTTATCAAAGACAACAGAGACCACCAGGTGTCTCCTTAAAGCCACAGGCTCATTTCACTCATTTTAAGAAAATAGCAGCCTGGCGCAGTGGCTCACCACTGTAATCCCAAGATTTTGGGAGGCCAAAGTGGGCGGATTATCTGAGGTCAGGAGTTCCAGACCAGTCTGGTCAACATGGGAAGACCCACCCTCTACTAAAAATACAAAAATTAGCTGAACATAGTGGCTAATTTTTGTATTTTTAGTAGAGGCTGAGTTTTACCATGATCATGTAATCCCAGCTACTTGGGAGGCTGAGGCAGGAAAACTGCTTGAACCTGGGAGGCAGAGGTTGTAATGAGCTGAGCTGAGATCATGCCACTGCACTCCAGCCTGGATGACAGAGCAAGACAAAAAAAAAAGGAAAAGTAAGACGGAAAGAAGGAAGGAAGGAAGGAAGGAAGGAAAGAAGGAAGGAAGGAAGGAAGGAAGGAAGGAAGGAAGGAAGGAAGGAAGGAAGGAAGGAAGGAAGGAGAGGGAGGGAAGGGGGGAGGAAGGGAAGGGGAGGGGAGGGGAGGGGAGGGAAGGGGAGGGGAGGGGAGGATCGGGGAGGGGAGGGGAGGGGAGGGGAGGGGAGGGGAGGGGAGGGGAGGGGAGGGGAGGAAGGAAAAATATCTGTCAGGTACCCCTGTCTGAATGTCTGAACAACAATATGTCATTTTATTCTTTGAAATAAAATGGTATTCCAAGAAAAACAACCACCTTAGCTCACAACGCAAACAATCACACAAGTGATTTCCCTCAAGACCTAGCTTTGTATGTAGCAGAAATGTTACTTGATTTTTACCAATACAGTGAAATATTGTTTAAACTTCTATTGGGACCTAAAATAATCATGCTAGGAAGGAGTTTTAAAAGTGAAATTTCTATGTAAGTTACATTCCATCTTAGGATGCGCTTCTAAAACCATTTCAAATGTTCTACAAGCAATACTTTTATACTCTTAATCATAAAACATTTATACTCTTATCATAAAATGATATATGTAAATAATGTTCCATAAACTAGAACAAATTATTACAAATATGTACAAAGGTACACTGTTAAATGAGATGCAGTGAGGGAGAAAGTAAATCAACTAAATGCACGACTTCTACAGAAAACAAACCAACACTTAGGTCCCCCTGACAATAGTTAGGTGGTAGATGTAAAAAGTATTTACCACATTGCGACAAGAAGCAAAAACATCGCTGTACAAAATGGAGCATTCTTTCTTGGCATAAGGAAATTTGTTTTGATGTGCCTCACAGGGTTTAATTGTTTCATCTGAATTTTCACACTGTTGAAAAAATTTGAGAGAGAAAAGAAGTTTTTAAAGGGATAATTTCTCAAGCGGAGTAACCTACCCAACTCCACTCATTACAACTGTGCCTAATATATTCTCGTCCTTTTAGAAAGGATTTGTGTAAAGCACCTGCTCACATTCAATTCAATGTTAATTGCATATATTATTTTTGAAAGCAACAGAATAATAAAGTCATAACAATATTAGAGATGGAGTGGTGATAAATGATTTTTAAATTCTCTTAAACACAACATTTGCATGCCTTAAAATTACATGAGCATGACCTCTTTCTTTCATTTTCATCTCTTTCATTTCTGTCACAAATAGTCTGAGAGGTTGTATGTACTCAAATCTCTGCAGACTCAATTCCCATACATGCAGCAGTTTGGCCTCTTCCTCCCCTAATCCACTTCCCTGATACTGCCCTGAAAAATATCATCTATGACCTCTTCATTACTAAATACAAAGGCAGTTTTTCAGTCTTCCATCTTGCTTGACTTTTGCTGCCTTTGATTCTATTTAATACGTTACCCTTCTTAAATGTCTCTCCTCATTTGGTTTTAGTGACACAGTTTTCTGCTGGGTTTCCTTCCATAGACTGTTGTTACCTAATTTCTTTCTCCTTCCTTTCTTTGCAAAGCGTAATCTTCAAATGTCTATTTTTTGCATTCTGTACATGTGTCCTGGCTTCAACGCCCTGAATATATTAGTAAATGCAAAATCCCTATGTCCATCCAAGATCTCCTTCCTGAATTTCAAAACTGGACATTTCCATCTAAATATCTCTGTCCTCTCAGCAGATCCTAACCATCCCTACCTACACCATTGTCCTTCCCCTACTATCCATATTCATTGCCTCCTCTTTGCCCTGCCTCGGGGAGAAACAGTAGTATCTTCCTAGTAAGCCAGGAAAGTCAGAGACTTCTTGAAATCTCCAAATTCACCCTTCCTAATACCTTTCAGCAGATGCTGATGATTTTTATCATTAATGCTTCCCAAATGTATACAGCTTTCTAAATCTCTACTGACTTAATATTTCTAGCTGGATTATAGTAAGAGCCTCTTGGCTCTTGTATCTTGCAGATCTATACTTTGCACTTCAGCTTTTATCTATTTCAAATCTTACACCACATTCAAAATGAACTTCTTGAAATTCACTTTATATACCACACTATCTCCAGCCTGACACCTTTAGGTGGCTGCTCCCTCCTTTGCCTGTTATATTCTTTCCCATAAATTTTACTTTCTTAGCTCCTATAAATCTTATAAGATTCATCTCCAGGGTACCTTCTCCAGGAAACTTTCTTGAACCATCACAATTCCCACTTTGTGTGCACTTCTATCAAAGCAACTATCTTACTGTGTTCTAACTGTTGATGTTTCCACCTCTAAATTTTCCACCTATAGACTCTAAATTACTTAAAGGCAAAGACTGTGATTTATCCATATTATGTGTCTGTATGTAATGGAAAATATTAAGTGCTATGTAAAAATTAGTGAATTTTTTTTAGATGGATTTCACTTTTTGTTGCCCAGGTTGGAGTGCGGTGGCGCAATCTTGGCTCACTGCAACCTCCACCTCCTGGGTTCAAGTGATTCTCCTGTCTCAGCCTCCCAAGTAGCTGGGATCACAGGCACCTACTATGACACCTGGCTAATTTTTTGTATTTTTAGTAGAGACGGGGTTTCACCATGTTGGCCAGGCTGGTCTCAAACTCCTGCCCTCAGGTGATCCACTCACCTTGGCCTCCCAAAGTGCTGGGATTACAGGCATTAGCCACTGTGCCCAGCCATGAATTTTTTTTTTTTAATGATAAGACTTCTAGCTTTGTCATCAGGTATGAATAACAAACTCATTTTGAGGGGGTGTAAAATTATTTGACTACTCCAAATATTTAAGTATCACTAGAAATTAGTTACATCTTAATTTATTTGCAAATTAAAAAATGTAAAATGATTTTTTTTCAAAAAAGTCTAAAGGTAAAAAAATATAAGATAGCCACAATTAAAAGGATTTTGTCTCTCTCAATATAGTAGATATTTTAGATATTAAAAAGTACCATTTTGTACTCTTAAGCTTAGACCACACTCAAATATTACTGAATGGAATAAATGTTTTACTCCATCCCCTCTTTATTCTTTAAAGAGATTTAGACATATTAGTAAACTAGGCAAAATACAGAAGTAACTAAGCAAATGGTAACCAATCAGGAAACCATGGTTTCAAACACTCCTATCAATTAAAAAGAACAATAGGCTAAAAAGAAAGTAGAAGAAAGAATAGAACCAATTTCCAATTTGACACTGTTTTCTGAGTCAGCTCAGCATTTTTCAAAATGTGTTTCACATAACACTATTTCTTTGAGAATTAATAAATAAAATATAGAGTCTGTCAGTAAGTTTGGAAAATTCTTCAAACATGTCTCTCCTTTATAGGCTTATGATGCCTCAAGAAACCCTTTAAAAGATAAATATCTCAAAATTAATTTATCTAACTGCCGCCAAAGGCAGTTGACCACAACCTACACACACACACACACACACACACACACGTATCCCCTTCATTTCATGTAATACTAATAACATGACTGTTAAGAAATTATATCTTCATTTATTTATTTCTTTGAACTGGCAAAAGTTCCATCATCCTTTAAAATGCAGATACATTGTTAACGCAATTTGCTATGGTGAGGAAAACGTAAGGTAGAAGAGATAAATTTGAATGTTACCTCTGCTACTTTCTGGCCATATAATATTAGACAAGGCCTTTAACTTCCCTGATCCTCAATTTCTTCATCTATAATAAGGAGACAACATCCTCTATATGATAAGGTTATCAGGAAAATTACATGAGAAGATCAATATGAAAGTTTACCAGCTATAAATTACTATGAAAATAGTATGTAAAGTAATATTACCTAAATAATAAAATGTTCTAGTGAAAAAATATTCTTAAAAATTTTTGTTGACTTCTAAAATGCATTTATGTAACTTACCTGTCCTAATGCCCAACTATCTCCAAATACCTGAGCATTTCTCACTTCCAAGTTATTAGATGTGGTCATATCATTTGAAGTACATTTATCAAAGTTTCCACACAACCCTGATAGCTTGTTCTAAAGTAAGAGAAAATCACCAGGAAATATTCTGTAATCACTGTCACATTTAAGGACTCATATTCATTAAAATTTTTGAAACATTTCAAATATACATTTAAGAATTTTTACATCAATCATTTTTAAAAACTAACTTGAACAAAGTGGATTTTCTCATGCCAATTTGATTATATTTGGTGATTATTTTAATTTACAGAAATATTTTACCCAATTTCAAGTCCTATTTATCCATACTTACCAGTGCCTTAGCATTAATACAACTAATAACATAAATAACTTGGAAAAGTTTAATTCAAATAATATAGTACATATAAAAGTGTATGTGTATACAAATGTGTATGTGTGTTTATACATAATTCATGTGTATATATAAAACTCATAATTATATATATTCCCATCCTTGTTGGAAATAAGGATATAGAATGAAGAATGACAGATATATTCCCTACTTGTTGGAATATATCATATTGCCTACTTGTTGAAAACAAATTAACCATTTGTTTTTCCACATCCCCCTTCCTGATGCCTCAGCTTTAGGATAACTACTGTTAGTGGCCACTGTCTTTGAACAGATGTGATCTCTGAAAACAGAGGCCTCATGGAAATAAGTGGCTATAGCAGATGTAATTCTATGATTATTGCCTGCTTTACCATAGACATAGGCAGCCTACTTCACCAATAAGGGATGCATTCTATTCTTCAATATTGAAGAGAGCGTTCAGCATGTTTAAATTCAAGGTTTTAAGGAGTAATTCTATTGCTTTTAGGAAATATCACTGCAAGTTCTCCTCCTTCATCTACTAGTAAAATATATTCTTATTCCTTTTGGAAATAAGGATATAGGATGAACAGTGGAGAATATTAGTTGAAGAAAGACAGCAATGACCAAAGGTTATTTCAGATTCATCAAAGAAATGCAAGATGCTACCACATCTAAAAATTGATCTTCAGGTTTTATTCTTCTTAACATTGAAAGACTATAACTTTAATATACAATCATATCTTACATTTACAACATATCAAAATCTTTTTTAAATGTATCTTTTCTGTATTTTTGAGAAGATATTGTTGCTATTCTAATTTTTCTCTAATGTGACAAAAATCATATCTATGAGTCTCAGTCTCAATTTCAGACAAACTAGAGTTTAAAAAATACATCAATATTTTGAAAACAACTTTAATATATGAATTTAAAATATTCAGATAAATATTCAAAATATTTAATCAAATTTTAAATATTTTAAATAGTAAACTACTTAACAACATTTAATAAAAATATGCAACAGGGAATAGTATTTAAATTAATTTAAAATATAAATTGCCAAAAACTGTAAACAACTCAGACTGGATATTCAACCATGAAAGGATAAATAAACTGTGTGGTACATCCATACAACAGAATACTACTCAGCAGTATAAAATTCATACAACAACTTATATGAATCTTAAATATACTTTGCCAAGTCAAAGAAGCCAGACCCAAGAGACTACAGATTGTGCAATTCTATTTATATGATGTCTGATAAAGGCAAAGCCATAGCAGTGGAAAATATAATCAGTGGTTGTCTGAGGTTAAAAGGTAAAGATAGGGGTTGACAATAAAGAAGCAACATGAAGCAAATTTGCAGGTTGATAGGTATGTTCTATGAAGAACAGTTCTGGTGGATACAAGACTCCATGTATAATATGGTTTGGCTCTGTGCCCCCACTCAAATTTCATCTTGAATTACAATACCCACATGTGGAGGGAAGGACATGGTGAGAGGTGACTGAATCATGGGGGTGGTTTCCCCCAACCAGTTCTTGTGATAGTGAGGGAGTTCTCACAAGATCTGATGGTTTAAAAGTGTGGCATTTCCTTCTCACTTTCTCTTTCCTGACACCTTGTGAAGAAGGTGCTTGCTTTCCCTTTGCCTTCCACCATGATTGTAAGTTCCCTGAGGCCTCCCCAGTTATGCAGAACTGTGAGTCAATTAAACCTCTTTTCTTTATAAATTACTCAGTGTAACGTAGTTTTTTATAGCAGTGTGAAAATGTACTAACACAATGCATTTGTCAAAATCCGTAGAACTGGACACAATAAGAGTAAATTTTTTTTACATTTAAAAAATAATTTTACTGCATGTCAACTTAAAAAGAATATCCAGGACATGGAGGAAAACATGGAAGGCAAATTGTAAGAACGGAATCTAGTTGCATCATGAACAGATCATATAATCAAGAAGCTGAAGAGAGAAGAAGAAAGCTGACCTATGTACCTTGGAAAACTGGAAACTGCATGGTTAAAGTAAAAAAGAAGTGTACACAAATGCTGTACTTAGTTGGTAAAGTTCTTTTTCACAAGGGTATGAGTTAGTAATTCTGAAAATATAATCTACTTATTAAAGAAAAACACTAATCATTTTATTTTCATCAAACATCAAAAAGTAAATGTGATTTTATTCATTGCATCTCAGTTGGAGCTTAGGTTAACCTACCTTCCACTGTGGCCCAACTTTGATATGAATAGTTGTCTTCCTATCCCAAAGAATAGTAATATCTTTCTCTGGGAAGTACACTACAATATAGTAACCAGCCTTCCAAAGCTGATAGGTAGGTTTGTTTTCCAGAAAAAAACCTGATCGTTTCTTTAAAAAAAAAAATAGAAAAGAAACAAAATGAGTAGTATGTTCTCTAATCAAAATATATCAAATTAATTTAGTTAATATTTACCAACAACTATCTATATACTAATATTGTTATTTGGTCATGTCTGAATTCTGTAAGAAAAGACAAAACAATTGCACAAAATAGGAAATACATAAAAATTGATAACCAGACACGAACTAGCAGATGAACTCCACATAGATAAATGGGTAAAGGGAAAAGGTATTTCAGTTACATGTGAGGAAGAACAAAACAAGGGAATGGACATAGAATACATTAAGTGATATCCCTGCCAAATTGGAAATTCTACATCTGTGATGAATAAATATGACAGAATGAAAAAGCTATGGCCTTGCCTGCAAGAGAGAGAAATGTGGTCCTGCTCATGTTTCTGAGGAGTTAATGAGAGCACAGAAAGAGTCTACTGACTTCATTAAATATTTACAGAAAATCAGAATTATTAAGTTTGGTAGGAGACATTGCCAATTCAGACAAAAAGAAGCTGTGAAGTGCTTCCTTTAAGTGAAAAGGTGAAAGTTCTCTACTTAATGAGAGAGATAAAAAATTGCATGCTGAAGTTTCTAAGCATACAATTTCTAAGATCTATGGTAAGAATGAATCTTCTACCTGTGAAATTGTGAAGGAAAAAAATTCATGCTAGTTTTGCTGCTGCACATTAAACTGCAAAATTGACAGCCACAGTGCATGGTAAGTGCTCAGGTAAGATGGAAAAGGCATTAAATTTGTGGGTAGAAGACATGAACAGAAATGTGGTCTAATTGATGGCAACTTGGTCTGCTACTATCTATGGTTTCAGGCATCCACTGGAGGTCTTGGAACCTAATGCTCATACATAAGGGGGAACTACTGTATGTGTGTAGTGGGTTGGGAAGGGTGAATTACCATCAGAGGAACTCAGAAAGGCTTCTTGCAAGGAAGGAGTGGGTGTGAACTGATCTGCAAGAGATTATGCATAGCAAGGTATAGAGGGTTGGGAATGAGAATGGAGAAGAAATCCTTCCAAACGAAAGAAATGGCTTGAATCAAGACATAGGGACAAGAAAGTCAAAGATTTATTCAGAACTAAGGAGAGTACCAAAAGGTTAGAGCATGAATTACATGATGGATCATAGCCTGAGACCTTTTGTAAACAAGTGACCTATACAGAGTAATTATCACATGTGCAAAATGTAGTCAATAAAGGCTTTCAAACAGGGAAGTGGCAGACCATGGTTGGTCTATTAAAAGAAGATAATTTATGCAGCAGAAAGGATAAAGCAGAAAGAAACGAGAGATGGAACACATCAGGAAATGTTAGAGTACTTTTATCACAAAGCAGGAATACACAATATTCTTTATGAGCAAGGGCTATACATGGTTATATTAAATCTGACCTTGAAATTAACTCATATAATAACTTCAAAAATGCACAGTTAACATCAATGTAAGTCAAATTTGGCCAGAAGCAAAAAATTGGGAAAAAGATATGAAATTCTTTGATTACTTTTCTCCTTCAAGTAATAACAAAAACATAGTTTGAAAATACTGCACTACAGTAGGCTTTTTAATAAATATTTCAAAGGGAAAATGAAATAAATTTGGTCATATCCATAAGAAGTTTTCAGTCTCCTAGACCAAGGTCATACTTAAAACAGGTACACAATATATTACACAGAACAGTATATATTGTATATAATCATATGTTTTGTTAACTGGCTCTCCCTGATTTCATATTCTTCCCAATCCCCACCCTCACTGACTAGGCTTCAGCTATGCTGACCCTCTTTCTTTTCTTCAAATTTACCTAAGCTTTTACCCATCTCAAGTGTGCTCTTGGCGTTCCTCCTGCTAGGACTCTGTTCTCCCAGATATTGGTGTCATGGCCTCATTCTCATAAGTTGTGACCCATTTGCTCCCTCCTCTGTGAGGCCTCCCCTGATTGCCCCAATAGAACTTTCATCCTCAAGACAGGCTGGATTGGTAGACGTTTGGACAGTGCAATGCTCTTCCGATTAATGGCAGTCCCGTGCTCAGAAGTGGACCCCCAACTTGGGGTTTCATATTCTGTAATTGCCAACTTGAAATTCTAATTTTAGCTGTGAATTAGTGTTTTGTCAGTGAAGTTCAATGAGACAAAGAATTATGTGTCTGGGCCTTGAAGCCATGTCTCACATCTCCTGCTCTCTGCCTAGCCTCCCTGGGATTGGTTCTCAGGTGCCTGCTTTGCTGCAGCCACCCAGAGACCACTGCTTCGCTCCACTCACAGCACAGAGGCAGGATTAGTTGGACTTAGGTATGCACACCTAAGTGCCAAGTTGGAATTATGAGGCAGGAGGGCGCTCAGCACTGACAGGGTGTGCACTCACCTCAGGACTATCCCTATGCTTGAGTGAGCATGGCATTCAATGATGATTTTTTAAAAAACACCATGACACATCAAGAAAGAACATGAAACAAGAAAATAAACCTTTTTCCCTGTTTTGAACAAATTGTGTAGCTTTCCCTGCCCCCAAGTTAGTCTCTGCCACAAAACTTATGTTGTTTCCACCGCACTTTTTAGTATCTTTCTATCATCTTGCCTTTGACTTCATTGTTTCTCTTTTGCTCAGTTTAGTTTTGCCTCAGTCATCCTGGTACAAATGCACATCTTTTCTATTTGGCTCTAGACATAAAATCCTTCATTTTCATTAGCTAGGGCAGTTTACTACAAGAAAATCCTCTTCAGTTAAAGGGAGTTGCCATATGCCTTACTTTTCAGATTCATAAGTAATACCTCTCATTAGAAAAGTGAGGTATTATGAATTGTACAAAATAGAGATCTCCACTTCAGATGAGAATTAGAGCATTTTAAACAAACTCTAATGATGTTAGCAAGGCAAGTTAGAAATATGGAGAATTAAAATATTTAAAGTATAGCTTAAATAAATCAAAATATTTATATCTTATACATTTGATAAAATTAGAATTGTACATTTACATATGAAAATAACAGAGCTTTTTTTTTTCTTCCCGTGGATGGGTGATCCATCTACCATAAAACAAACAGAACTTATTTTTCACTTTTCATGTTTGAGAAAAAAATATTGCAGGGGATTTCTTTAGGGACAAACTATTTTTATGCCTTTTCATAAAAAGATTAACTTATGTCATACAGCCTATCTAAAGGAGATTCATTAACACTTTCATACAAGTGAAAATTGGAAATTGAAAGCTATGTGGAGTTGTAATCACCACAAAATGTGTGACCAAATGTGTTAAACTGTCTTTATAAGACCCTTTACTATTTTCTCTTGTTTCTTTTTTTAACATCCTTGTTTTTAGAAATAACCTTCAGCTATAAATGACTATCTGGTTGGTGGTTATAATAAACTGCTGTAATTACTTTAAAAACATGTCAACATGATTATAGAAACTCTGTTTTGCCAAAAGTTTGACTGCTGCCCAGTTCGTTTCAATGTTTCTGACTGAAAGATGAGTTATGTTTTAAGGTAATTGTTCTCAAACTTTTGTGTACACAAGAATTTCAGGTACCACTGAAAATATCAATTTTGTTTTCAACATCAGCCATTCCAATTACTGAAGTAGGGCTCAGAAACCAGCACTTACAAGAAAAATTCCAGGTGTCTGTAATGAAGATTTGCAGACCAAACTGAGAGAAAACACTGTTCTAAAAAAATCTCAGAATATAGGTCAGTTTTTAAAGGTCATTTGTCAAATCATGTACTTTCTAGCTCTAAAATTTCTTGCCTATAAAATAAGGTTCAAATATCTTGTACCATTCAAGAGCTTCCATAGTCTGGAGTCACCCCCCTCAATCCATTGCCTTTTCCCCATGCCCCCTGGAAGGCAGCTGATGAGGACACTCCTCCATAAATCTCTTTTCCAATCCCTCCATAAACTGTCCTATATAGTGTGCTTCCACCAATCTAAACGACCTGCAGTTATCCAAACGTGCCATTTCATCTCTCAGCTCTGCTCCATTGAGTGGGTTTATTCTTCTGTACTGATTGCCACCCTACTCCCTCTCTTCCCTCAGCTAATGCCGTCTCATCCTTTAAGACTCAGTGCAAATCATTTCCTCCAGAGCATGTCTTCTGAGCCTTCAAAAATAGGGAGGATAAAGGAGATCAGAAGAATCATTTCTTCAAATCCATTCATTTATATTTTCATTTCAATCCTCACGCAAACTAAAGAAATAGATTCTAAAATCTTCCCAAATTTACAGATGGGAAAGCTGCAGCTTGGAGAGGTTAAGTAAACCTGCCCAAAGTTACAGAGCAAGTAGGTGATGGAACAGAGGTTCCAAGTTAGTACTGAGTGACTCTGAAGTCTATGCTCTTAACCACCCTAAGTGCCCTGGGTTGCTTTACATGTTCTTCCCAGGAGTTCCCATATTATCCTACATAAATTCCTGCCATAGGACACCAAGCTGCACATCCTTATTTACCTGACTGTATCCCTCACTTGAGCAGAAACTTCTTAAAACAGTGAAATAACACTGTTGTAGCCCTGATAATTAGCACATGTTTTGATATTCAGTAAACATTATAAAAGAATGTATGACATGAATGAATCAATGAATGAATGAAATTTATTCATTCTTTCAAATTGGGCAGGCTCCAAGAATACAAGAAACAAGAACTTGGAGAGAACTGGGGAAGATAACCTCACAGGGAGTTTCATTAAAGTATGATACACGTTCTAATAGGGTGCTTGAGGGTATGACATGGAGCTCCCTGGAGGAGGTATGATAAGACACATTGCATAAGAATAAGTTAAATGAAAAGACAGATGCAGGAAGGAGTGATAATATTAATGAAGGACTAATAAGATGCTCCACCTTCTTGAATATGGGCTTAAAGCAGGAAGGGGTGAAAGAGCAGGCAGGAGAGGTGGGTAACAGCCAGACTGGCAAGGCCTTGGAGGAGCAGTGGGAAGGCATCTGAAAGTCTTGAAGAACCAAAGTGACATATTAGATTTCCAATAAAAGTGTACATATACAAGACCAGGCACAGTGGCTCACTCCTGTAATTCCAGCACTCTGGGAGGATGAGGCAGGTGAATCACCTGAGGTCAGAAGTGCGAGACCAGCCTAACAAACATGGTAAAACCCTGTCTACTAAAAACACCAAAATTAGCCTGGCATGGTGGCACACATCTGTAATCCCAGCTACTTGGGAGGCTGAGGCAGAAGAATTGCTTGAACCCAGGAGGCAGAGGTTGCAGTGAGCCAAGATCATACCACTGCACTCCAGCCTGGGCAACAGATTGAAACTCAGTCTCAAAAAAAAAAAAGTACATATACTAATAAAATTACCCATGCTATAGTATGTGAGCATGGATTAGAGGTGAAAGACTAAAACTAGAAGCCAGGAGTCTAGTCTGGAAGCCACTGAACTAATCTGAACTAATTAAGGCAATAGATGAGGATTGCAAAGACCCAAATGGAGACTATAGGAATGAAAGGAAGAGGGAAGAACTGGAATACGGAGAAGGGAAGTAAGAAGTAAGAAGAGAGAAGTCAAGCATAATTTACTGAAGCCACACAAAATGAAAAAGAAAAAACAACGTAGATCTCCTAACCATTTACAGAGAGAAGCAGCCCAAATCATTTCTATTCTATTTTCAGTATCCTCAGGACAAGTTCAAATGATCCTGAAAGAAATAATTCACTAACCTGTTTGTAAGGAGTATCATTCAGGTAAATTTCAGTGTCCCCAACTGAAATCAAAACACTTTTAGAACAAACAATATCGTTGTCAAAGCATTTCTTGTTCTGAGCAATGACAGATATATCTGAATCATCTGTACTCTGAAATGTCAAAAATATTTTATTAATATAAATATATATAATCTATATTATTTTTATTTGTATTAAGAAATCTTAAAGATCAATATTGACAATGGATTGCATCAGAATTGAAAAACAGCTTACCTCTAAAATAAAAAGTCATTTTAAACTAATAATGTAAAGAATTTTATAGAAATATTGTAGGATAGCTCAATCTTTAGACACCTAAAATATCTTTGTTAAAATTTTGTTTTTCCAGCCAAGTTTTTCACCATTTAATTACTATAACTCAAATGTATAAACCAATTTCATTTTCTTTATCAATAAATAATTAACAAAACAATAGGTCACTTAAGGAAATCTTTAAAAAAATATTCATTTGAAACATGTCTTTTGTTTTATCTTAAGCATATTTCTGGCTCAATAATTCTGTGTCTACAAATTAGAATTCAAATAGATACAAAACTTTAGTATTTGTTAGTAAATAAAACAATGTGTATTATTTGAGAGCCTGCTTTGAATTTTACATATATTATCCAATTTAATTCTTAAGAAAACTTTCTGAGTTAGATATTAGTTCCATTTTACAGAAGAGAAAACTGAGGTAAACAGGGATTAATTGATTATATAAGGTTGCATAGCTGAATCTGTGCAGGGTCAGCTTTCAAATCCCTTATATGTTTTGTCTTGTCTTGATGCCACTTGTAAAGAAATTAGGAAGGGTCTAGCAATGGTTGAGAAGAAAAGACAATTTTAGGTTATAGGGAATCCCTAACTTTAGGAACATTATTTACTCTCTCCATTCTAAATGAAACATTTCACCTCCAGTTAGAGCCCTTTCTTTCTTAGTCCATCCACTAAGTCACTCTTTAGAATCAAAGTTTCTTATTTTCTCTCCCAGTTTAATGGATAGGTTTCTTCAATTGTACTGACTCTGGAAATTTTATTTAAAAATATTTTTAGTATTGGTTCTTTAAAAGTTTTAATTGGCAAATTATACTTGTATATATTTATGAAATACAATGAGAGGTTAAACGTATATAATGTGAAATAATTAAATAAAACTAACATATTCATCAACTCATATACTTACCATTTTTCTAGGAAGAAAGTACATGCTTCTTGTCAAATTTTCAAAGTGGTCCTAATCTCCCCCAAAGTTAAAAGCCACTGCTCTAAGAGCCCTTTCACTAATTGTGGATGGTAGAGATTTCATTAAAAGGCAAGGAAGAAATGTGACATTTCTCTTTGGATTCAATGTCCAATTTTCAAAGGCCCACACACATTTCCTGAATCTTTTCCATTTTGAAACATATGGGTCAGTGTTTATTTTCATAGTAAGAAAAAGTCATTAAATGTTTGCCAATCATAGGCCAGGCATGGTGGCTCACGCCTGTAATCCCAGCACTTTGAGACCCAAGGGGGCAGATCACTTGAGGTCAGGAGTTCAAGACCAGCCTGTCCAATATGATGAAACCCTGTCTCTACTAAAAATACCAAAATTAGCTGGGCATGGTGGCACATGCCTATAGTCCCAACTCCTAGGGAGGCTGAGGCAAGAGAATCACTTGAACCTGGGAGGCGGAAGTTGCAGTGAGCCCAGATCACACCACTGCACTCCAGGACTCTCCAGCCTGGGTGACAGCGTGAGACTCTATCTTAAAGAAAAAAAAAAAAGTTTGGCGGTCACTCATAGCGGTCTCTTTTTTTTTTTTTTTTTTTTTTTTTAGAGAGATGGAGTCTTGCCGTGTCACCCAGTGCTGGAGTACAGTGGCATGATCATGGCTCACTGCAGCCTCAACTTTCCAGGCTCAAATAATTCTTCTACCTTATACTCCTGAGTAGCTGGGAGACTACAGGTATGTGCCACCACAACTGGCCAATTTTTAAAACTTTTTGTAGAGTCAGGTCGCACTACGTCACCCAGGCTGGTCTCAAACTACTGGGCTCAAGTGATCCATTCACTTCAGCCTCCCAAAATGCTGAGAGATGTAAGCCATCTTGTCTGATGATCATACGGGTCTAATGTAAATTCTCCACACCTAGTTTTTCACAATTGGCAATATGAACCCTAGCTCAATACATCTCTTATTTTGGCTAATATCTTTCTGTCTTGTTAATAATATTACAGCATAGTGCCTAGAGGATAGGTTTTTAATGAATGGTATTGATGGAGTAATTAATGTGTCCCTATGTAACCCATTTCTCCTTCACAAATGCTGGGAGCTATTGCTTCTTTTTAAACAATGCTTTTGCAAAGCATTGCCTAAATTTTGAAAAGTGGAATAATAAGGATCATTAAGATGATTATGCCATTGTACTACTCCAAAAAAGTAATGTTATACCTTTCTGCCTTTCTGAATAATTTCAAAGAAGAAAAAATACACAATTCAGGGTTTTGTTTTGCTTTTCCTTTTGGAAAAGTTATTTATATTGAGGAATGTGAAAAGCTGATTGAAAGGCTTTCTGTTGCCTTATATTTTATTACTATTAATTAAAGTGCCTCAATGTTAGTTTTGTCCTTTATATTAAATCTGAAATGTCAAGAAATATTTATTTTGTATGGTTTGTCTTATAATATCATGTTATGCTGACAGTAATTTGAAACAATAGCAATATACCTAACAGTCACATTTCTATACTTTCCATTTCTAATGTATTTCAAGTTAATATTAGGTTTAGAAATAATGCTGCAGAGTTGCTAAGCAACACAGTAATAGTGATAACACAGCTGGAGGAAAAAGGTCAACACCAACGTACCACATGGACTCCTCAAAACCCTTTATTCTCAGATACTAAAAGCTTTAATACAGAATATGCCCCAAAATGATTCTGAAACGGAAACTGTTAGTACCTTTCAAGGTAGAATATAATTATACTTGATATGTCAGTATCAGCACCTGTCATAGCCCCAGCCCCTTTTAAGGGTAATTATCCCACACAAAGTCCCTGCTGATACTATAGCCTCAGGCAGCCATGGCTTATGTTCCAAAGCAGCACATTCATTGATAGGCAAAGGGACTTCAAAGCTGGCAGAAAAAAACAAATATACACTATTCAATTCTCTCTCAAATTTGAACCTGAAAATACTGATTCTTTTTAATGTTTTGCAGTAAGATCTGAGGGTGAATAAACATGGAAAGGATATAAGGTAGAGTAAGAGCTGAACAGTTGAAAACAAGCTGAACATATGAGGAAGTAGAAATGATGACTGAGCTGAAGAAAAAGTAGAGAAACGACACATAAAAGAACGTTAGGTACACAAGCCTGAGTAAGCAGAAAATAGAGCAGTCACACAAAGATTGTCCAAGTTGCAAGAATGACATCAGGTCATCCATGAATCTCTGTTGCCTGGGGCCAAAACCACCCTTCAGTTGACACCTTCATGAGGTTCTTGTTGGAAGACATACAAAGTTGGAAAAAAGAATAAGAAATACTGTAAGACATTACAAAAAGTTTTCAAAAATCTTACCTTGTGATCAAACTAATTAAAATTGGATGGATTTCTTAATATTAACTTTAGTGTTAATAATACACAATGCAGAGGTAAAATTTGGTTTTCTCTTTGAACAAGCTTTTTATGTTATTTTTTGACATTTTTTTTCATTGTACTTTATATTCTGGGGTACATGAACAGATCATGCAGAATTATTGCACAGGTACATACACGGCAACGTGGTTTGCTGCCTCCATCCCCCGTCATCTATATCTGGCATTCCTCCCCATGCATGTTATCCCTCCCCAACCTCACTATCCCCCAGTGTCCTTCCTCTAGTCCCCCCAAACTGACCTCACTGTGTGATGTTCCCCTCCCTGTGTCCATGTGTTCCCATTGTTCCCGCCTATGAATAAGAACATGCAGTGTTTTATTTTCTGTTCTTATGTCAGTTTGCTGACAATGATTGTTTCCAGATTCATCCATGTCCCTACAAAGGACACAAACTCATCATTTTTTATGGCTGCCTAGTATTCAACGGTGTATATGTGTTTTCCTTGTCCACTCTATCATTGATGGGCATTTGGGTTGGTTCCAGGTCTTCGCTATTGTAAATAGTGCTGCAATGAACATTCGTGTGCATGAGTCCTTATAGTAGAATGATTTATAATCCTTTGGATATATACCCAGCAATGGGATTGCTAGGTCAAATGGAATTTCTATTCTAGGTCCTTGAGGAATTGCTACACTGTCTTCCACAATGGTTGAACTAATTTACTCTCCCACCAACAGTGTAAAAGTGTTTCTATTTCTCCACATCCTCTCCAGCATCTGTTGTAAGATTTTTATTTACCTTGAGTACACAACAAAAAAAAAGGGGGGAAGAGAGAGATATTAAATTTACCTTTTTAGCTGTCTTTATTAAGTTTTAAGATTATTTGAGAATCTAAATCTCCTCTCTACCAAAGAGTAAAGGTTTTTGCTTTTCAAAATATTTGAATGGTCACTTTGATTAAATAAATGACTTATTTTACAGTTATCTGTGACTCTAGTTTATGATATCAAGTGTTTTAAGCCTTTGATATTTGATACCTTTCCAAATTCTAAATTTATTCTTTTGGCCTCAAACTAACTTTTTGGATATTAGGGCTCCTAAAGTTCAAGACAGACATATTCATCTTCATTGGTATGTTAAAATCATACCAGTATCATTGTTAAATGTGAAATGCTGTTTAACTTTCTTTGGGTTATATTTATGTGCATGTGTCATTAATATATGTTCCAAAATTATATGAAATTCACATAATTCTGGTATGTCTGAATACATGTTATCAGGAATCATTATGACTATTATGTGAAATTACTGTATTCCACAGAAATAATCAAATTTCCTTGTCAATTGTGTCTTTAGCAGCCATGGCTAGTCCAAGACTTTTGTCACTCACAGAAAATTATTGTTTTACTTTGATTCTTCTCAAATTTATAATCAGCTGCAGTCCACATCTTGCTTCCTTAAGGAAGTTTATGAAAATAACTCTGACAGGTTATCTTGAATGCAGGTTTATAACTTTCGAGATTGCACCAT